TAGGAGGTGGGGTAGGAGGTGGGGTAGGAGGTGGGGTAGGATGAAAACGGGAGGTGGAAACGGGAGAAGGGGGGAAAAGGTCGGGGGAGGAGAGAAAATAGGGGGGGTGGGGGATGCCATGGCGCCTCACGGACTGGAACGTTGGAGGTGGAAAGGACAGCTGTGTGTGCGGGCGTGTGAGAGTGTGTGCATGTGTGTATGCCGTCCCCGCGTCTCCTCCTCCCCTTCCCCCCTCTTCTCACAGCCTCTAAACATACAAACACACACGCACGCACACACACACACGCGAACACACACACACACACACACACACACACACAAACACACGCACCATCCCCCGGACCCGCAGATCCTGGCTGCTGAGGTGGAGCACTTGCATGTACGGTTGAGCGAGGCGGTGGCCGAGAAGGACGCGGCGCTGTCCCGGGGCCTGGAGCGCGTGGAGGGCGACTTGGCGGCGGTTACTGACGAGCGAGATGACCTGGCGCAGAGGATACGGTTCCTTGAGCGGCAGCTGCACAAGTGCGTGGCGTGCTGTGCGGTTGAGCTAGTGGGTGGGCGGCGGGGTGGGTGGTGGCGGTACTGCAGGTGGTGGCAGTACTGCAGGTGGTGGCAGTACTGCAGGTGGTGACAGTACTGCAGGTGGTGGCAGTACTGCAGGTGGTGGCAGTACTGCAGGTGGTGGCAGTACTGCAGGTGGTGGCAGTACTGCAGATGGTGGCAGTACTGCAGGTGGTGGCAGTACTGCAGGTGGTGGCAGTACTGCAGATGGTGGCAGTACTGCAGGTGGTGCCAGTACGGCAGGGATACAGGAAGGGGAAACAGAAGGGCAGCTTATGGGTATGGAAGAGGGCAAGGGGGCCGGCGGCATGAGGCTTGTATTCGCGGCGGCCTTTCACGCACCAGCGTGTTATGTGAATGAGATCTGGCCGCCGTTGGTTGGGTGAGGTGCTGCTTTCCCCGTCACTTGCACACACACGCACACACACGCACACACACACGCACACACACACACACATACACACACACGCACACACACACACACAACACGCACACACACACGCACATACACACATACACACACACACGCACACACACACACACACACGCACACACATACACACACACGCACACGACCGCCCGTCTCTGTGGCGCCCTTCTTCGCTCCAGTTTCTTTCCAAACCATCTGACCCCCCAAATCCCAAAAAACCCCAAAACCCCTCCCGCCCGGGTTATTCCCCCGGGGCGCTACCCGCCTTACCCCCGTCCCCCCAGGCTGCGTACGGAAATGAGCTCCCACGTGGACAGCACCTCAGCCGAGGTGCAGACTGACCCCGTGGAGTGGGGGCCGCAGGAGCAGGAGGACGTGCCGGTGAGGGCGGCGGGGGGGGAGGGGGGAAAGACGAACCACGAACGAGTGCTGCTGCTGCCAGGGCAAGAGGAGGGGAGGGGAGGGGAGAGGAGCGGACTGGGGGGGGGGGCCGCAGCTGGCTGGCATTCGGTTTTGGTTTACGCGCGGAAGAGGAAGAGCCGTCCTCCTCCTCCTCCTCCTCCTCAACTTCCTGTTTTTCCCCTCCCCCATCTCCACCTCACCTCCTTCCCGCTCGATTGTTTGCATTTTATTTTATATCGATAATAATGATGATATTTTGTTAATGAAGACCAGTGCTCAGTGCTCACATCCCATAAAATCAGTATCATTTCCTCCATTTTTTTCTCCATTTTTTTCCTCCATTTCCCCTACCTATTTTGGTTTTTTTATTCATTACAAAATTAATTCTTTGCTCGTGTGTGTTTTGTTCCTGCTTCCTGATGTCTTGTTCCTTGTTGCCCCCCGCCCCCCCCCCAGGACGACTGCAGCGACACCCCCTCCCTGGCGGAGATCAGAGCCCGCTACACGGCACACGGCTATGGCGCCCTGACGCCGGAGGAGCGCCTGCGGCTGGGTCTGCCGCCCCACATGGGCTCCGAAACCAACAAGGAACACAAGGGCCGCAAGCGCAGGAGGGCGCTGGGACACTTCGAGGTGGGGGGGTTGGGGATTTGTGTTGTGTATGTATGTATGTATGTATGTATGTATGTATGTATGTACATATGTATGTATGTATGGGTTGGGTGCGTTGCGTTGTGTGTGTTGTGGGGAGGGGTGTTTTGGCAGGGGGGAAAGGAGGGGGAAACGAAAGGCTCTTCCATCCTGAACATCATCTTCACTCCACACACATACACATACATACATACACACCCCGCGGCCTAACGGCGGTCTGCCTTCCTCTCCGAGGTGTCGAGCTGGCCACTCCTGGTTAGCGGGTTTTCCAACCCCCCTGACACACCCTCAAAAGCCCGCTGCCAAAACACGCCACGTCACCCCGCCAAAACACGCCACGCCCCCAGGGCCTTATTTCCAGCGACAAGCCCGGCCGGGTGCGGGGCCTTCCCTGGACCATGAACGTCATTTCCGCCATCTATTACGACAAGGTACGGCGACGGCGACGGCGACGACGACAACGGAGCCCCACGTCGGGAATCTAACTTAATCAAGGGACGGGGGGAAAGGGGAGAGGGTTTGGTGGTGCATAGGTGTGTGTTCATAAGCGTGTACGTGTACGTGGGCGGGTTTTCTGCAGGTGGTGCTTTGGAGGTCCCCCGGGAGAGGTAGGGCCCTACGCGGCTGGTGCGGCGGGAGCTCCGAAACCGAGTCACCTCCTTCTCCCATCCCTGTTTTCCTCTCCTACCACAGCTGCAAGCAGACTCTGTGAGCGACCGCGAATGCAATCCACGTCAGCGTCTGGCGGAGTTTGCCGTGGACTGGCACATGACGCGGTTTGGGCTCCGAAACCTCGCGGAGCTGCACCTGCTGGATCTCATCGCCAGTGTACGACAACACTACAAGACGTCCGTACGCGTGCGCTGGTTCGGGCAGTTCACAGGTGAGGGGGTCCCGGGCCCAGGGCTGGGGGGTGGTCCCCGGTGTATGGCGAGTGTCACGGAGGGCTTTTCGTAAGCGAGGGGCCTGAGGGGTGGCTTCCCTCCCCCCCGCCCCCGCCTAACCTACCTACCGCAAGCCGGGGGAGCTCTACCCGCCCTGGGCCTCTGTGACTTCACCCGCATCGCACCCGGGCTCTCGAGCAAAAGCAGTTTGGACTCAAGCAGGCAGCAAATAAGGCTGCTGCTGCTACGTCATCGATCACTACTCCCAGCGCTTCCTTTGTGTATTAGAGCCAAGCCAATTTATCGGCCAGGGCTTAAGAGATCAGCTTCTAAGTAATTCCTTTAAATTTCGGCGCAAAAGAACACACCCGGAAGGATGTTCATGTTGATATACCAAGAAGGAATAAATTTGTTGTCATAACAGGTCTTAGCGGTCTTGCAGGAAACTGAAAAAGGTAAGTAATGTGGTGAAAACTGCCATGTGGCAAAAAAGAGAAAGCAACCCGGAAGGCGGCAACCCGGAGAGCATCGGCCGTTGTTTTCCCTTCTTGACCTGACTTGACGGCATGGAGCTTCAGTCCCGGGAGGCCGTCCACCCCATCCTCACCTCACCTCACCCCACCTCACCTCACCTCACCTCACCTCACCTCACCTCACCTCACCTCACCTCACCTCACCTCACCTCACCTCACCTCACCTCACCTCACCTCACCTCACCTCACCTCGTCTCTCCGCCCACACCGCCTTCCCAGGTCTTGTGGAGGTGGGAGACAGCGTGGATACCACCCCGCACGTGTCCTTCTACCTCACAGTGCTGTCGCAGCTGGCTGCGCCCAACTCCCTCGTCTCACTCTTCCCCGACACTGGCGGGGAGGAGGGCGGCGGCACACCCCCCGTCGCCATTAAAGCAGCCGGCCTGCCAGAAGCCACGCGTGCCGTGTTCCGGTACCTGGGCGAGCCGGAGGGTGCCGTACCGTTCCTTGCTCGATCCGTGGATCCGATTACGGATCCGATATCGCAGCTGGTTCCGTTGGATCCATTGGTGGCGCTGTTCATGGCAGAGTATCAGAAGAGGGTGGGTTGAGAATGAAAAGAGGTTTTAGTTATTGGAATTTTATGGTTTTATTAGGGTTTTTAGCTTTTTTCAGGAGTTTCAAGGCTTCTTAAAGTGTTTTAGGGGTTTCGAAAAAGGGGCCAGCAGCAAGCGGGGTTGGGAGGGGAAGTTGGGGGAGTGGAGGGTGAGGTGTGATGTGATGAAAAGGGGGGGAACAGGAGGCGAAAAGCGAGGCAGGGGTGGGGAAACGGGGCGTGTTGCTGTTGGGAGGAAGGAAAGTTTTGGGGAAGGCGGGTTTCACGCCCCGAAACGTCGGCCGCCAGCGGGGATTGATGTTCATGATTTTGTCCGATACGATTGTATGCCGTACTGTTCGTACTCGCAGTGGGAGCGCAACGCGGCTCATTTGCGGGCGCTCTTCCGCGCCGGTGATTACGATGACGACGGCCTTATTGGATACGACGAATTCGCCGGCATTATACGACAGATGTTACCTGACGCGGCGGCGGCGGACCGGCTGGCGCCCAAGATTTACGGCGATGCGATGCGGCGGCTGCCGGACGGGCAGTCGATGCTCGATGCGGATACATTTTTGGCCGCCGCTCGAGCTTTTGGCTGGGATCGCTGGCGCGTTGAGGTCGGCCCCGCCGGCCCCATCGCCTCATACCCCTCCGGAATTAGCGCGAAGTCCTCCGCGCCGCCAGCGAACTGGGCAGTAGCTGCTGCCACAACGTCCCCGGCGGTGGCGGCGGCGGCGCCGCCGCCGCCGGCGGTGTCTGCATCGCCCTCCACGGCCAGCGTCCTGCCTGTAGGCGGCGCCGCCGGTGCGGCGGCGGCGACGGCGACTGGGTCGAGGCCCAGCTCCGGAGCCATAACGCGGAGCGAGAGCGCCATGGCGCGTACCGCGCTAGGTGCGGCGTCGATGAAAGCAATGGCGGTGGCGGCAGCGGCGGTGGTGGTGGCGCCGCCGGCGCCACCAATGGCGCCGTTGGCGCCGTCGTACAGCCGTGCGATTTCCAATCTGCGACGGGAGGAGAGCGTGGTGGGCCTCACCGAATCAGACAGGTACGACACTACGGCAATCCGCCTGTACGGCGACGGGTCACGTACACGACGGTGGTCCTTAGGACCGCAACCCAGATCTGGTTGCTTTCCTTTTGTGGAGGCTGTGGGGGGGGCCAAACAGTTCTTGGCAGCGGTTTATGTGCCGGCTGTGACGGTTGCAAGTGGTTGTTAGGAGTTGCAGCGGTTGTTGTCCTCCTCCTTATCGTGCGTGATGTGGACATGCAAAAGTCCTAACCACTAACCGCCAACCGCTAACGTCCATGCTTTACCGCTCCCATACTCTCACGTAGGGCCCTTTTGCGCGTCCTGGACGGCGCACTGGAGGGGTTAGATCCCCCCCTGGACGATCAGGTTTCGGCGCTGCTGGACAAACTGCGTGGTGCCGTGGCGGCCGCGCAGCAGCAGGCGGCGGTGGCGGCGGCGGCGGCGGCTGCCGTACCAGGTCTGGAAATGATGCCGTCCACGAAGGAATTGACGTCGGCCATTGCCGCCGACAGCGTGCTGGTGAGCCCTTGGTGCCGGGTATGTATGTATGTATGTATGTATGTATGTATATGTATGTATGTATGTATGTATGTATGTATGTATGTATGTATGTATGTATGTATGTATGTATGTATGTATGTATGTATGTATGTATGTATGTATGTATGTATGTATGTATGTATGTGCGTTGCCCGACTGTGACCCCATCTCTTCCTACAGCTTGCTGCAACCCGCGGAAAGCGTGTATCTGTCGTACCAATATATGTAACATACGCATATATACATATATGCATATATAATAATATAGAATATAAATTATAGTACAATATATATGATAATGTATCATTTGTATACCTTCCCACTGCCAATTCCGGGCCCACCGCGCTGTCACAAAGGAGCGTTAGGTTTCCCGTACACTCCGAAACCATTGCACCCATCATCATCACCCGTAACACCCCCCACACACACACACCGCTATTCCCCTCCCCCTCCACCCCCCTACCAAGCGCAGTTATCAAAGCTGGAGGCCCAATACACGCACTTCCGTACAGTGTACGGCGAACGCACGGACCCGGCGGCGGCGTGGCTGGCGTTCCGGTTGCTCATGGCATCGCTGGCGGCGGCGACGGCGGGGTGAGCGGTTGGGGGGTCTTCAGGATCCGAACAGATCCGCAACGGCAAGAGGAACGCCGTTGTTGCGAAGGACGATGGGACCGGTGTGTATGTGTGTAAGGGAAAAGGGAGGTCCTCCTTGTGCTGGTGTTTGACCGGCCTTTGCACCGCCTCCACCTCCGCAGAGGCGTTCGGAAGATGAAGGAATAAAAGGGGGAAAGGGAAGGGAAGGGAAGGGGAAGGGAAAGGAAGAGTAGCGGGCGGGTGGGAAATGGGTTTTCGTTCTCCTCAAGGCCCCCTGGACCCCACCCAGTGGTCTGATTCCTCTGTGCACATACACATCCGTACATACACATCCGTACATACACATCCGTACATGCACGTACGTGTACACACATGACACAGAGGGAGAGGGGGGGTTCGCTTGGCACGGAGTACGAGCTGCATCCTCCTTCCCCTCAACGCCTTCACAAACCCACCACCATCCCGTCAACCGCCACCCGCAGCGGGCCTGGCTCCCCGCTTGCCTACCCCTCCTCCCAAGCCGCCTGGCACACGTACACACACGTACACGACCGCCAAATACATCTGCGCCACTCTCTTCCTCCGCGTCCTTCTTCCGCATCCCCTTCCGCATCCCCCCTTGATCCCCTCTCCTCTCTTCCTACCCCTCCCCTCCCCTCCCCACCTACACACACCACACGCCCCGCTCGTAGCTCCCGCGCCCGCCTCTCCCGCTCTCGTCCCGGGAGCGCCAAGGGGACCGTGGCCTGGGGGTTGCCACGCAGCGTCATGAGGCTCACCGTGCCGCCACTGCCCTTCCGTGCCGGGAGCTCCTCCCGCGCGCTCAACAGCGGTGGCGGCTCTGGGGTCAGCCGCCGCAACACCCCCCAATCGGCTCTGGGGTACAGCCTAGGCGCCGGGCTGGGGGCCGCAGCGGCCGGGGGCTCAGGGGCCGGGGGCTCGGCGGCGGCGTTGGCTGGGGTGGGGTCGTTGCCGCAGGTCCCCAGCGGGGTCAGCGGGAGCAGCAGTTTCTACGGGGGTGGCAGCCTCGGAGGCGGCGGCGGCGAGGGTAGTGTGGCCAGCGGCGTGGGATTGGCGGCGCCGTCGCCGCTGTCTCGAAGTGCCAGTCGTTCGCCGATGGGGCTGGCGAGGTCGACGGATGCGCCGCCAGGCCGACCCATGGGTCTAGTGCAGGTGTGCACGGAGTGTCGTACGGTGTGGTGTACGAAATACTTGGCGGGGGGCCCGCGCACGTGGGGCTGGCATGTGCGCGCAGCGTATGAGAGGTGGGGAAGGTTTGGAGGGCTAGGGTTTCGTATGTGTGTGTGTGGAATGTGTGTTCGTGCGCCATCAGCAGCTTGTTTATCCGGACCGATCGAGGAAGGAAGGCTGTGTAACACACGGCGAGTGCATTGGTTTTAGCTCTGTGTGTCTTTTGGATTGAGGTGGCTATGGATGTCTTGGATTGCAATGTTGCTCGGGGCTCTGCTGCTGTGTGTATGTGTGCGTATGTATGTAGCTGTGTTGCGATGCATGACGCGCGCATGACGGAGGGCTGGGTTTCCCCACCATACCATTAACGCTTTCCCCCCTTCCCTCCCTCTCTTCCCCCCCCACCTGACCACAGGTCATCCAGGGCGGCAACAGCTTCTCCGACCGCCACCACTCCCCGAGCCCCCTCGTCGTACCCTCCCCAACCACCTCCGTACAGCTACACCGCATGCCCCTGCCCACCACTCTGTCCGCACGAGGCGGGGGCCCCGGCACCCCCACGGCCGCCGCCGGTGGTGGTGGTGGTGCTCCGGGGGGAGCCAGCACCCCCACGAAACGGGGGGTGGTGTTCTCGTTCGGAAGCGCACCACCGACTGCAGTGCCGCAGCCCGCTGCCGCCGCCGCCGCCGTCGCCGCCGCCTCTGTCTCTTCTGACGGCCTTTCCTCGCGAACACCATGGCTGGAGCGGAGGGGGCAGCAGCAGCAGGAGCCGCCGCCGCCGCCGCAGGAGGAGGAGGAGGAGGAGGAGGGAGAGGCACCACAGGAGAGGGCAGCGGCGGCAGAGGTGCAAGGCGGCGGCGACGGCGGCGGCGGCGGAGGAATTCCGGTGGGGAGTGAGGAGGCAGCGGTGGCGCCTCCGGGGCCCCCTCCACCGCCGCCCGCAGGCGCTATTTCTGCCCCCGAGTCGTGATACGGAGAGAAGAAGAGCTGCATCACCGGCGGCAACCTGTCTTGCAGGCATGCAGCATGTATGAATATATGTACGTACGTATGTGTGTATGTATGTACGGGTGGTGAGCTGGCAGGCTGGAGAAGGAGGTCAGTGGCGGGGCTAGGTCTACGGTAAATGGGAGGACGGGGGCTCAGTAACGACAGGACGACCTGCTTGGGGTGTGGGTTACTTTAGGGTGTCTACGTATTCTGATTGATCTTGGATACCAACGCAGCTGGGTTGATGTTGAAGATATCCTATAGGGCGATTATGATCACCATCACCATCATCGGTATTTTTCTGAAGTCTTGATGTAGCAGTTGTACAGCGTGGGAGGCACCCGGGGGGGGCCGAAAGACATGGGGGTCATCTGGATCGGGGGGAAGGGTAGAGTGACTTCCTTGCGAACGTTTAGAGTGAGCGTACATGATGTGTGAAACAGGGGGATGTATCTTCGCCCGGGGCAGCTACCCTGCGAAACCCTGCCTTCCCCGGTATTTCGGGGCACCCTCATCCAGTCTCCCTAGTCAACTTCTCAGTGGATCGCTCAGGTTCCGCACCCACCACCGGCATCCAACGGAATCTGCCGGGTCGACAGCGGCCCAACTCCGTTCCTGGTCGGCTCGCAGGTTAACTTATCCCAGGTCACCACCATCAACTAGGGGCTCAATGCCTTCCACAATCGGAAGGGACTTTTGACCCTAATGGGTATCGATCCCGGGATCTCCCGGGGGCAATGGTCGCGCCTTACCAGTAGTGCCAAACCCTATATTATATATGTATGTAGGTATGCATGTGTGGGTTATGAACTTTGCATGTTGGCAGTGGCAGATGGACAATTGGATAGATAGAGATAGAATGATAGAGAGATAGATAGTTACACAGGGGTTGGGAGGTTTTGTTGAAATTTTTTGGGGCCAACTAAAGCTGCGGGCCATTGAAAAGGGCTCTATAGGTGCTGGGGGCCCCGCCATTGCGCGTATTTATCGACGATAAGTGTGCAGTACTCAGTTTAAGAGCTACTGCATTCCTCCTCCCCCTACGAAGGAATCCGTTTCAGGCCCTTCGGCCACGAACACCGGCCCGTGGAAGAATGGGACGGGCTCCATACGATGTAGCCACAGGATATGGAGCAGCAACTATGCAGCCACACGTTTTTTTAATTCTTGAAATTGCAGGTCCTCAAGGATCCATAGTGTTAGACCTATTTGTTATGTGGCAGTCGGTCTGTCGGAAGGCCGTTTGGAAGCTGGATTAGCGCTTTCTCTAAACCGTTCGTGGCTGGCCATGGCGGCTGGTCATCATCTTTAAATCAGCAGCCAACCAGACACACGTTCCCCGCCCTGACCAGTCAACGCTCTTAAAGTTCCAAGATATAAAATAAATTCAAGTTCCGCGCAAATGGGGGGACCCGTCTGTAAAATCCGGGGGTTCTTCTAAGGATGATCAATCGCCATTATTGTGGCGCCGAGCATGTAGGCATCCGCAGACGAACAGGGAACACGCGGCGGAGGACCCCGCGGAGGCTGGGTGGGCATGGACAAAAGACATTCATTTCATCCTCGACTACTCCGCAATCACACAAAGCCTGCAGGTGCGCTCGCGGCCATTAGGCCTGATAACCTTCCTTTCAGTCTTGGGGTATGTAGCCGCACTGCCAATGAGGGCTTCCAGTTGCGGACAGGCTGAGAAAGTTTCAAAAGTTTAGAAGTCATTGTATACCGGCGCAAAAACGCAGGTACGGCCGTTGTACCTGGGACGGAAGGGTGTCCGAATGCTGCAGCCATATGGCTGCAGCAGAAATTGGCAGGAAGGCACGGCGGCGGCGGCGGACGAACGTACCTGCGTTTTTGCGCCGGTGTATCGAAAGGGTGTATCGATGTATGATGGGAACCGAGATTACTTAGAAATTTGGGTTGTACATAAAGCACGTTTCATTTTGCGTGCGTTGGCGTTTTGAGGATTCGGGAGCGGGTTCGGCATGCCGCAAAAACTGTTGCTGCTGCAGCATGGTACGGTCCTAGCGACTGGAAATGCAATCCGGTCAGAGGGCGATCAAATGGGAAGTCCAAGCAAAGATGCGTTGCGCAAAACGGCGTCATAATCAGAACGGCGTAATTGTGTTTAGGAATGCCTAGGAAATGTTACACGTTTAGGCGCCGCCTCAAAAAGAGGTGCGACCGTATTGCTCTGACGTACTGCTGCGGGTTAGACGGTGCCGGCCGCGGCCTGTAGGTCTATCGGGGGCCGATCATGCTTCGCGGTTATGAAACCGCGTGACGAGCAGACTCGAGCAGGCACGAAATGTTTCAGTAGGAATTTTCTGGCCAGGATTTGGAAAATGTAGACTTGAAAAAGCGCTGGAAGGCTGGGTGAAGCGCTATATACGACTTTGGATGGGAAGGTTCGTTCCTTGTTGGGTGTAGCAGGTGCAATGCTAAGACATCATAGAATCCCTGTCCAGCAGCGGGTAGCTGGGTGCTGCCCAGCATCCAGCCAGCACTGTACACAAAACACGGGAACAACTCCATTCATTCCGTCTTATACGGAGTCCTCGGTACGTACTAGGGCCAGTACGCCCTGCGTGGTTGTTCTAGGATCTATAATCGATGCAACCTCCTAATTGTGCTAACGTATGTTTGGGATTAAGTTATGCCATGACTTCAGAGGCGAGCGCGAACTGCAATGTAAAGTGCGACACCAACTCTTCAGCATTCATTCAGTAGCCGTACTTCAAAAAGAGCTTATCAATGGCAGTGCCATTTCCACAGATGTTGGATCACCCATCCTGCGCTGTAACACCTGCTCGTACTGTCTACTCACACGGCCGTGCCGATAGCGCATCACCCCAGCTTTTTATTACCGCAGTAATTAAGATATACGTTTTCATCGTCCATTGTTACTTTCGTCGTGCTATGCTACGTTTGCGCGCCATTCTTTTTGATGGAACTTCCGTTAACTTTCCGTATACCGTATGGCTGTACGGTACTTTTTTTTGCAGACAGAGCGAAATGGAGCTTCGGAAACTAACGGGAGATACGTAAAAGAGAAACTTAGTGTTTATTTCCATGTCCCTGCTATCCTTGCTTGCAACTTATTCTTGTCCTTTCTTCTTATACGTGCCCTATATGCTATGAGTAAGAAACTTTTGTTGAGTTGAACGAGGGAGGACTGTAACAATGCCTGTGCTGCAGCTGGACAATCGTCGCGAGGCGTTGGCCAAGGAGGTGCGCTTCGGCGTGGCATTTCAGGCCCGAAACTCCTGGAAGAGGGGAGCCTAGCACTAGCATGACACGCATGAGCATATAGGAGTATGTGGTATTGGCTTGCACATTTTCGGATTCACTGCTCAGGTCCTTTATGTCTGGCCGCCCACGATTCGACTTGCGCCATAGTTAGAAGCACCGCGGCATCACCGCCCATTTTTTGGACTGCGCGAATCGGCTCAAGATGGCTAAATGCAGTTGACACTTGGGATTAACCGGCCGTAGTCACTCGCAACGTACTCACTTCAGCGCGAACGCCGCGCTTGAGTGCCGCGGCGTCAGCGCAGGCCTCCCTTATGGCTTGGAAGATGCTGGACGTTGAGCTGTGCAACCCTTCTTGTTTAACTGCTTGCAGGAAGCTCCTTGCCACCTTGACCTGTCAAAACTTATCCAATCTGGAACGAAGACGTTTTTTAATAATCCGGCACTCTCGGACTTAACACTTGTATGTCCAGATGGTCGAGCGCTGCACTGCCATAGCATTATACTGGCAGCTGCCTCAAGGCGTTTCGCAGCTGCGTTAAAGCAAGGTATATGGCTTTGGTTTCCCACTTCCAGATTCTGTGTTTGACTATTGTGCATCACCATGGAAGGGCATGCCTAAAGGAAGATATTATGCGAAAGGTCATGCCTTTCTACGGTTCTCTTGCGCCTCACATTGTTTCACGTATACAACATTAGGCGTGGTCACACTGCGCGGGAGCCTAAAAACGTACCGGACAAGTTGATTTGCGCTTTCCCTGCTCGCTCTAATCGTGTAGGCAATTGGACACCGGGTCAGCAGATGCCGGTGAAGGGGGTCGATAGCGATGCGCTGGAGACGCTGGTCTGTGCTTTCTACACGGCGGAATGTCCTCTGGAGCTCGGCAAGGTTCCCGCACTGTACGACGCAGCTGTAAAGCTCGAGGTAGGTAAATCCCCCAATACTCGGCAAAGACACAAAAAACATGTAACGAATCAACAGGTCGCGCACCCCATCACCAGCACCTACCACCACCAGCACCACCACCGCCAGAGTCTGTCAGTTTTCTTAAAGACCCCATAGGAAGGAAAACCAGAATGGCACCGGAAAGGCGCGCTCTGCTTGTCTGCACAGTCTTCCCCCCTCCTATCCTCCGTGGTGCTTAGCCTTCCCGCCCCCTGATGCCTCTCCATCACAGTCACATTCCCCCTCGCCCGTTTGCCCACATCTTCCCTTTTTCCGCCCCCCTGTCGCGCATCCTCAGGTTCCTTCCCTAGCGCCCGCCCTGGAGCAGTACCTCAACTCGGCGCTGCAGCCCCACAACTGCTGCCAGGTTCTGGAGCTGTGTCTCAGTATGGGAGTGTCGCAACTGTCAGATCTGGTGTTGGCATGGATCCGGGGCAGGTGCGCGGGGCACGTGCACATGCACACACGCAGCTGATGTAGGTGTGCATGTGCATGTGGTAAGGGGGCATTAACAGAATGGGCATTTAGGAGGAGGTTTGGTAGTAATACGGCGATGATGTCCCTTTGCAGCCGGCCGCACCGAGGAGGGCACCGACGTGCGCCGGTAGGGGGTTCCTGTGCGCCGTAGTAGGGGCTGGAGAGCCAGGACACACGCAACCCGCCCTCCAGCCTGCAGCCCAGAGAGTGTGCGAGCAGAAGAGGGGAAGAAAGGCATGAATAAAGATGAATTCGTGACTGTGATGAAGTCGTAGGGACAGGCAGTGAGGAGGGTGGCAGCGAAAGCGCTCCGCTGCATGCGTATGTGTGCATGTTTTTAACACGGTATGTTGTTGGGATGAGGGGTGCGGTTAACTGGTGTGTTGTTGGGATGAGGGGATCACGAGGATGAACGAGGCCCATTGGCGGTGTGGCTCTCTCTGTGTCTCTGTGTGTGTCTCTGTGTGTGTGTGTCTCTGTGTGTGTGTGTGTCTCCTAGCCCTGTCATCCACTGTATACGGCGACCACCCACACGCCTGTCCGAACAGCTTTCCCCCCCCCCCCGGTCATATGCCTCCATACCGCCATACTTGCGGCGGCCGGTCAGGGTGTCTGATGTAGTTCCCAGTGCCGAGTTCCGCTCCTCCAGGCTGGAGACCGCCGCCTGCATCTGCAAGGACCTGGCGCACAGGAGCCAGCTCGTGGGACTTCAGGTGCGCGGGGAAGAGGGGAGCAGAGCCTGGAAACGGGGTTGTTGGTGGTGGGGGGTGGATGAGGGGAAAGGGGAGTACATACGTACATACGTACGTATGTATGTATGTACGTACGTACTATCAGATGTCTTTGTCCAACCCCGTTCCAACACACACTTTTCCTGTTCGGTGCCGGCTCTGGCGATGTTATTGCGATCACTGCCGCGCGCACAGGCGGCTGTGTCGTGGCTGTCCGCCAGTGCCCCCCGGAGCAGCCTCGTCGGAGTGTTTGCGGAGGCGACGGGCCTGACTGTCGACGCGATTCAGGCAGTTGCCGTCAGCGGCGCCGCGCTGGGACCCGTGGGTCACGGCGGTAGCGGCGGTAGCATTAATGGCCTCAGCGGCGGCCTGCTACAGTTCTCTGGTCACTCAGGCCACGTCAGCCACGGTATAGGACATGGCGGACATGGCGGTGGCGGAGCTTCGGGGCTGCTGGGCTCGGGAATTGCCGCCGCCACTCACCCGGCGGCGCAATCCCTCAATCTAAGTCAAGCGCTGGGCCCTGGCGGCGGCGGCGGCGGCGGCGCGGAGGGGACTCTCGGCGGCGGCAGCTTCGGACTGAGCGCCGGGACTGGCCTTGGGATGGCCGCTAGTAACGGCGGCGGCGGGGGCAGTGGTACCGTGCAGGTACTGCAGCTGTTGCCGACGGCGTCCGGGTCTCAGGCGGCGGTGCTGGTGATGCCGTCGGGTAATGGTAATGGCGGCGCTGGTGGGATCTCAGGAGAGAGCGGCCACCACACCCACGGGGTGCATCATCACGGCCTGGGGGTCGGAGGGCTGCAGTCCCTGCTGACGCTGCACGACGGCGGCGGCGGCGGTAAGGGAGGCAACGGCAATGGACTTGGTGCCCTTGGCCTTGGGAGCGGCGGCGGTCACAGCGGCGGCGGCGGCAGCGCGATGGGGTTCGGCTTGGACGCCTTGGCGGATGCGGCGGAAGGGGAACGCGTGCAGAAGCGGCTGCGTGGTGCCGGAGCGGGAGGACCTCCCTGCGGCGGCGGCGGCGGGGGCGGCGCCTGTGTGGGGCCCGGAATGGGAATAGGAGGCGGCGGCGGCTTTACGGCGGCGGCTGAGAGTGGCTCTGCCACGTCTATGCACAGCGGTGGGTGTGCACAACGGAGGTATGGGATGTGGGTTACCCGTCTCACTATGAGGAAGGGGGGAAAGGGTAATGTCCGTCTACCTCACCCCTTAGCTCCTTCCTGAGCCCTTCCTTTCCACCGTATGTACTATCTACCCTGGGCTCTTCACCGTATGGAGCTCCCAATCCTGCATAACCCGCTGGTGCCCTCCCGTCCCTCACCACGTACGCTCCTACAGACATGTCGGGTGGCGGCAAGCGGATGAATGGGCTGGATGATAGGCCACAACACCTGCCGTCGGGTCGGATGGGCCCTAGGGACCCCAACCTCGCACTCCAGCAGCAGCAGCAAGCCGCCGCCATGAACCACCACACCGGCAAGCAGCTGCAGCAGTACCAGCCGCAGTCACAGCAGCAGCAGCAGCAAAGGGGTTCAAAGCCGGTAGGAAGTGGCCGTGGCGGCGTGGGCGGACGCCGCCGGCGAGCCGCCTCCGCCTCCGACGACGACGAGGATTATGCGCCCTCCGGTGGCCGCAGCGGCGCTATGAATGGGGGAGTTGGAGGCGGAGGCTGTGGTGTTAATGGGGTTGGAGGCGGGGGCGGACGCGCTCGGGCACAGGTTGGTGGTGGTGGGGAGTTTGGGTGCGGGTTGGGATGGTGAGAATTGGTGGGCGGTGTTAGGGGGCGGTCGTGTAGGCTGGCTGATGGGTTGGTGTTACGAGCAAGGAGTAGCACGCTTCTGCGGTGGCGAGGGCGGTTCGGCGGCGGTTGCTCGATGGTCCGATTGCTGGTCCTAGATATTTATGTTCGTGTTCGTGTGGGATATTCTTGCTGAAAGAAGCTTGAAATGTTGGCCAACACATGAAATTTGTGCCTTGTTCAGGTTATTCCGGTGCAAGGTTCGTTCCTGAGTCGCGTTCGTAAACTGTTTCCCTGCAAATTTTCGTACCCGTAGGAATTCAAATTTGGAGTTTCGCCGTAGTTTTTTTCTGAGTGTAGTGCCAAAATTAATTAAGTGAAAAGTGATATGTGATGGACATGTTTGCAACCGTATTTGTTTGGGTGCAAATCTGCTGCTGCATCTGTGTTCCATGAATTGGTCCTCTTTCTCCCCCCCTTTGTATCAATCGCCTGAAGGATTTCGTATACGGCGCCGAAACGCTGCTAGACGGTCCCTCCGCTGCCGGCGGTGGTGAAGGCGGCGGCGGTGTTGGGGGCGAGGTGGGCAGCGACCCTGGTGAGGATGATGCTGGCGGCCAGAACGGCGGTGATGATGACGTCGACACCGGCGGCGGCGCCGCCGGCGACGTCGCCAGCCCCAAGCCCGGCGGCGGCGCCGGTAGCGGTGGCACCAGCGGCGGCGGCGGCGGCAGTGCGCAGGGCGGAACTCCGGTGCTGATGACGGGACGTCGCGCCCCTGCTCAGAAGGGCATGTGCCACGTGCAAGGATGTCACCGGAGTCTGCAGGGCCTGCGGGATTATTACCAACGCTACAAGATATGTGAGGAGTGTCAGGGAGGGCGGTCATGGAGGTGGCAGGTGGTAGGAAAGGGCTCTCCCGCTTGCAAAATCTCCCGGACAGTACCAGGACGGCCTCCTGTGGGACCCTCGCAAGATGAGCTGTTGAGACCTTGCAGATACGCTAATCACTCGCACATAATCCTGCTTGTCTTCGTTCCCCTACCCCCATCCCGGCGCTTCCCCCCCTCCCTCGTCGACACGTGTTGATAGTTGACCCTTGGTTGTGTGGTTTACATCGTGCGTCACCGCAACATGTACGATTTCCCCCTTGTCTCTTGTTAGGCGAGTTCCATCTGAAGGTCAGCTCGGTGCTCAAGGACGGAGTGCCGCACCGCTTCTGCCAGCAGGTGCGACTGCACGCAGCCGGCGGAAAAGGGGCGGCAGCGTGTGTGATTGATGGCAGTGTGGGGGTCGGGGGGTTAGGGAACTTCCGCACCGGTCGGCCCTCTGGGAGAGCTGGGGAGTGAGAAGATGAAAGTAGCTTGTAAGGGTCGGTTAGCGTGGTAGATGCCTGCCCTCGATGTGTAATGGTTGAATATGTTTTCTGCTTCCCTTTGCGCTGTGTCGCTGCTGTCGCTCAGCGGCATATCTGTTCCACCCTGCTTCTTCGCATTGTTTCTGCTGCTACTGCTACTGCTACTGCTACTGCTACTGCTGCTGGTAAAAGATGTTATCGTGAGTCTAATGGTAGTGTTGGACTTTTTTCCGTTGCTTTGCAGTGCGGTCGCTTCCATCCGCTGACCGAGTTCGACGGCGACCGGCGCTCCTGTCGCACCATGTTGCAGCGCCACTGTCATCGCCGGGCCAAGCAGAAGCAGGAGCTTGCGGAGGTTCTGGCGCAAAGGTTTGAGGAGAAACAGGTGGGCCATGGGGGAAGGGAGGAAGAAGGGGGAGAGCAGTGGGAAGTGCGGGGGGGCGGACCCTGCTGTGGGTGTGCTGTGGCAGGACAGACGGTGAGTAAGCTGGTAATGGGCCCATGGGTGACCGCTTAATGTGCACCAAATAGGGAGACGTAACTGCCTATAAGCAGGGCGTCGCGATTTTTGAGACGGAAGGTACCCAGAGAATACAGCACCCGCGTGCATGTGCTTTCGTTTGCGCTTAATACACTAATACATTTGCTCAGCGATTACAAGTCTGCTCACGTTGACATTTTTTAATTTTCTGGCACTTAAAATTCGCAGGCTTTGCTGTTAGGTTTTTCAACTCGGACATATCACAATGTACTTACTCAGGATTGCGGCAGTTTGCATCTAGTTAAGAGGCCGAAACAGTGGAGGGCCAAAACAACTGCGCAAAGGATATAATAGCTGCATGCACGTTGATGCGACTCACTGCTGTCAGTCAGTCAGCCAGCGTTGCATGATGAACTCGCATGCCACGCTTAACTAAGGATTGCTTGTAAACAATTTTCGACCAATTCATCGAAGGAATTAGTTTACATTTACATCTGTGCGCCAAGACAGCTTCCCGCGGGCCATGGCTTTGACATCCCCCGCCGCTCGCGGCCTTGCAGCACTTCCCATGATCGCCGTGGCATAGCCAACAGCAGCTAGCAATATACACAATTCGTTTTGCACGATTCGCTTATAGGTAACTATGGCAAGCTGCGCCGCAGCAATGGCAAGCCGCCTATGTTGAATAATGCCCATCTTCCCGGTCTAACATCGCCGGAAGGTTAGCGTGCTTGCGATGAATGCGGCAGGCAGTCCACCGTCTCCACCGTTCTGGGGTTGTGTTGCCGCCTTAGCGAAACCGTCGAGGACAGCACGACAGCGTCGAGGACAGGCGGGGCGCGTGGCTGCACGGGCCGAGCCCTTTTCGTATGATAAGCTATTATTATTGCCGTCCCAAGAAGAAAGAGCTGTAATGAAAGATCCTCTAGGTGCTCAAGAAATTAGTAGTTGAACTGAAGAATTTTTTTAAATTGTCCCGATAAATCAGCTGACTTCCAGTATTGTCCTCATCGAACCGCTTTCGTCGCTTTTGATCCTATTATCATGTTGTGTGCATGAGTGTAATTTATTTTAGGCTTTCGTACTAGTTTTCCCAGTTCGCACTTTCCACTTATGTACATTGGTCGTGTGTTTGATGTAAAAAGCGGCGTTACACTTCTCGTCCAAGCCACGATTCTTAGGAAATTTGCATGGCCATGCTATTATGTCGTGAGTTTTAATAAACAGCCCGAACATTTACCTCTAGTTATTTCGCAAATGCCACTGAGCTCCGCGCTCTTATGTCTTGTGCCAGCGACACGCCCGAGTATTTTACTGGTGTCGCAAACTGCCTTCCCTCCTTGTACACTTAGGGAATCCTTGTAATGATGGGTTATGAATTTTGATGAGCGGATTGAGATACCACCCGCATCGTCCTCGAGGTTTCCTGTGGAGTTACAAGTTCCGCAAAAGTGTGGGCCAGGGGGGCCATGGACGGTCAGGTCAATATATGTTATTGTGGGTCCGAGTAAGGACGTTGTCATCCTCTCCTGCTCACCTGAGCTCGGCGCGCCTGAGCGCGATTTGCTTCCGAGTGGTTTCCCAGATGTCCGGGAGAAAACCAGTCACAGATATTGAGGGGCTTTCCGCCATAATAGCACGCATTTCGCGCCTTAGTGTATTTATGAATGGAAGGGGTGGCCAGTCGGCATGCACATAAGACATGCAGATCGTCCTCGACCACTCCGCAATTACATAGTCTGCAGGTGCGCGCGGCACGCTCGCGGCCATCAGGCCTGATGACTTTCGTGGCCGCCAGCAAGGCGACCCAGGTTGTAAACTCCCAGTCGGAGAAGCTGCTCGCTCATGCACCGCGTACCTTGGAACATGAAGGCTGGGCACGCGTGCCTACAAGCGTTCTCGTCCGTTCTAATCCCATGTTCTCATGTTAGGCACATGAGCACCTGGTGCAATGGCCTATATAGGCAGCATGGCCCCGGTGTGAGCGAGTCAACCCAGCCGCGCTCCCTTACGACTAGGAGTTGGAGAAGCTCCCACCCAGTTCTAGATACCGGCATGTACCGGCCTTTGGAACCCCCTCCGGTGACTCCGGTGGGAAACCCCCGGCCACAGGGGTCGGCCACAGAGGGTGCTAGGACACGTCCACCTCACAACGAGCCGCTTAGGTAACTCTTATATGAGTTATAATACCACCAATGCTTCGTGCAGGCCATGAAATGTTGCCTCGGCCCGTAGAGCAGCCAAATGTACAGCGTGTGCCCCGGTCAACACGCGCGGCCTGGTCCCGCCCATCGAAGCGTCCCTGCCAACCGCCTCCGCTTGTATCGCCCCCCAATTACATGATCTTTTCTCAAAATCGTAGATGACAAGGCAACTTTATGAAGAGGCCGCAGATGTGCACTTGTCAAGAACCGATTAGCGGCAGCGATTGGTGCGTGTTCAAGTCCACGATGACCATGCTAAAGCGGACGGAAGTGAAGCGGGTGAAAAGCCTGAGTATCGCAAGCGTTACAACAGACAGACAAGGACTCACCGAACCGCGTTGAGACGCGTTTCATACCGCTTAGGTAGATTACTGGTAATTAGACCAATACATGATTCTGAGGTTAGAATTTGGGAAGGGTGCAGTTTTGCAAGGTATTACGTGAGACGTCAGCTTCCGGTGTTTCTGGCAGCACTGTGTCCGATTCCCGGGTTCTCGGGCTCGGGGTTACGTCCCGACCGACTGATGCACACCTGCCGGTTTCCTTACGTGCGCAAACGCTTCACCGGCGGATCCAGGCGGATCCCCGCAGTCCCCTTCCCCACATCTTACACCTGCTCTTTTTTCGATCTGCGGGCCCGGGATGTCACCGGTCCCGGCCGCGTGGCCATACCTTGAAGCCCTCACTGCCCCCCATCCTCTCCCTTTTTTCCCTTCTTTTCCCCATCTCTTAATACGTCCCGCGCACACATACGCATGCACCGCCTGTACCTTCGTCATGGGTTTGACTGCCCATCTATTTTTTTCCCGCGCGGCTTCGTTTTGTCGCCACACGCGTACGTGCACGCATACCTCCCCATCACACCACAGGTGGCTGCCAGTATGTCCGCGGTGGTGGCGGCTATGGCCCGTAACGCCCAGGCAGCAGGAGGGATGGCAAACCTGTCGCCCATGCTGCATCTACAGTACCTCGCCGGCTTGCCGGCAGCGGCCGCTGCGGCGGCGGCAGCGGCGCTGGACGAAGAGCAGCTGGGTTCCCTCGGCGCCGCCGCTGCACTAAAGGGGACAGCAGCCGTACGTAGCGGCGGCAGCAACGCCGGCAGTGATGGCAGCGGTGGAAGCGCTAAGACGCGTGCTGGGCCGATGGCCGCGAATGGCCGTGCTGGCCGCGGCTCGCTGCCCCCAGGTCTACATTCTCCGCCGTCTAAGGCACAGCTGTTTGACGCTGTGCAGCGGGCGCGAAAGCAGCACGTCCAAGCGCAGAAGCAGCTGTTTGGGCTGGCGCCGGATGTGCCGCTGGCGGCGGCGCTGGCCGCCGCTGCTACGGTAGTAGGCAATGACCGACATGACGACGCCATGCATGACGACGTGCCGTCAGACGGCGGCGGCAACGGCCTGTACTCGATGCAACAAGGGCCGCAGCTCGGAGTCGGAGCAGATAACGGTGACGGCGGCAGTGCAGGCGGCGTTGATGGTGTTGGTCCTGCGGGCAGCGGCGACGCGGCGCCCTGGGCTCTGAAGATGGGCGCCTCCGACTGCGGCGGCAGCGGAGACCTGGCCGCCGGTGGCGACATGAACTGAGGCCACCACGGTCGAGTCTTGTGGTGTGGAGGAACAGCTTCCGCAGTGTCCATTGTTGTAATGTAATGTTGGGAAGCGGTGTGGAAGGTTCCTTCTCCTCGCATTATTACGTACATGAGAGAACATGCATAAGGAAGTCAACACCGTTGTGTACGGGCTGTGTTGGTGGCTCCCTTCCCCTGGGGGGGGGAGAGGTATTACAGCGTTAGACGGCAGGTGGTATTAAGAGGTCCGTTCGTGTGCCGAGGGGTTTTGGGGAAGGGGGAAAGGGAAATTGGGAGAGGAATATGCCGCAGTTGTTTGCGGAAAGGGCGGTGTTCTAGGGGGAAGGTGACAGAGAGAGACGAAGGGTTTTGGTTAGTTGGTGAATGGTGGGGCCCTATGTTCGGGGAGGTTGTGGGTGGCGGTGTGAGGCCGCCTGGTGTGGGTGCCAATCAGTTTGCTTTACTTGTGTGCTTGTGTGCTTTTGCGGTTAATGCGGTTAATTGCTTTACGGACGCAGCCTGCCACCGCACAGCTGTCCTCTTCCACATTCATCCGCGCGTCGGCGGGGGGTTTGGGCAGCTGGGGGCTCGGCCGCGGGGTGACGGGGCGGCGCTGGCGCAATATCTACCGCATCTTGTAACTTGCGGCGGCACACATGTTTTGCGGTTATTTTTCAAGTCTTATCGTTTTGCTGCTGCGACGGCTGTAGCTGCTGCCGCTGTGGTGTGGCAGTTTGCATCTGCGCTTCACGGGCCACGCCCTCCTCCTCTTGTCGTGGCGAGTAGAGGCGAGTTGAGGCCGGGTCGGGGGCCTGCCGGCGTCGTGGCACCTGCACAAGTGTATGGGTGGGTAGACGGGCAGACGGTCGGTTGCTTGGGGGCCCTTTGCTCTTAGGTTTTTAAATGGCGGATTTGGTCAATGATCGGCGGGCGTACTGAAAACACGAATGCATGCATGGTGGTCCTAAGAGTTATAATTAGTACTATACTGCCCTTTACATGTAAGTGGGCGTTGTGGTGCTGCTTTGTAGTGAGGGATATACGGGCGAGGGGGTCATCGTCTTTCCCACCGGGCGGCAAGGCGGTTCAACCTGCATCTGTTTGGGGGCACACGGCGCCAGGGGGAGGGAGTCTAGAGGCAATACGTGAGTGGTTGGTCGCTGGTGCGGGTGCGGGTGGGGGTGCTGATTCTGCTGTCTCCCAGTGCTGCTGCTGATGGCGATTATAAGGGGGGTTATGGCAGGGGTAACTGACAGCACTGGTAGTGGTAGTGGTAGTGGGGCACGTGGAAGAAGTACTTTGTCCGAGGTGGTTATCTTGCGGGGGCGGGGGCGGGGGCGGGGGGGGGGAGAGCGCCTAGGACCGAGAGGGGTCGAAGTGGGTGTACGATGTGTCCTTTCATTATGGAGCCGAATTGTGCGCGCGGGCGCGCGCGTCTGTTTCCCTTTTTGGTGATGATGTTGTCGCGATTGGGGAGCTTTGCGGCGTGATGATTCGCTCGCTGCCCCTGGCATGAAACCGGGAGCTCACCGGGCGCGGAAGAGGGAGGAGGGGACATGGGGGTACGGCGGGGGGGTTATTTCCTAATGGTGTTATGGGGGTGATGGCCTCTTTAGGGCTTTCAGGGGGTAGCTGTCCTAATTACGATGATGAGGATGAGGATGACGAGGATGAGGATGACGATAATGCCGTTCGTTTCTACGAGGGGCAACAGACGCAGCCCCGTGCACCGGGACTCGCGTTGGAGGAAGCTGTTCCGTGTGGTTGCACACGACGGATTGTACTTTTTCCTGGTGCCGCTGCTTGCCGCTGCAGGCGTCTGCTGCTACGGCTGTGGCGATGGTGGCAGTGGCGGAGGGTATGGCAGCAGCAGCCGCATCATGGCTGCTTGGATGTGTCCCTAGCCACCATTTCAATGAGCTCTGAATTGCCGCTGCTGACGTTTGCAAAAGGTCTCCTTTTCATCGCGGCACGTGTCCTTTTCGCTATGTATGCGTGTGTATGCGTATGTATGCCCGTATATGTGTATGTCCGTATGTATGCCCGTATGTATGCCCGTATGTATGTGTTCTTTTAAATGAAAGCGCTGGCTTTACTGGAGCTCTTTTTGCTGTCATCAATACCGGCCGCCGTTGCCGCCGCCACTGCCAGGACTCCGTGAAGGAGGAGTGAAGCTGACGAACTGTAATATGGTTGTCTAGGTGTGATGTGTGTGTGTATGTGTGTGTGTATGTGTGCGTCTGTGTGTATGTATCCGAATCTGATAAGCAAGAGGGAATGTGGCATCTGTCTCTGTGGAGGGGGGGAAGAGTACGGACGAGCCCCAGGGGGCCTCAGCTATCCGGCGAACCCCAGGGGCTGTTCAATATCGCTCTCACGGGACGTGAAGTGCTCTACAGGGGCAAACTGGGGCGTTCACGATATGTCATTATGTTACATAAGACCCAGCATTTCAACAGTAAATTTTCTCCTGCTTTGCATGCACACATTTTGCTTTGCGCGTGCGCACTAGAAACCCTTTTGGAAAGTTGGATTGACTTATTGATGCGGAGAGCGAACGAGGCCGCTATTTTGTTTGCTGCAAAGAGGCTGCCGCTTTTCCGCGCCAGGCCGCGGGAACGGAGGAAGTGGGAGTGGCGAGTACGTGGGAGATCGAGGATGCGGACATGACAATACAGTGCGGTGCGTCCGCCGCTGGGCTTTACGGAGTGTGAGCTACGGGTGGGCGTGGTGCTGGTGTTTTGGTGGCCGTGACTGCACATCAAAGCGCCCTCTGGAAGCGTTGTTGCGGGCCCAACCTTTTTTAACGCCTTTAAGCTTATTGCGGTTGCAAGCAGAAGATGGGACGTTAGGAATGTTGCGAGCATGAGGGGGGAACAGATGCATAGTGTGTGTGCATGTATGTATGTATGTATGTATATATGTATGTATGTATGTATGTATGTATGTATGTATGTGCGTACATGGCGAGGGGCGCATACTATCCGTAGTTGAGCTCGCCCTCCTCACCGCCGCTGTCCCCGGGGCTACCCGCTACTCCGACCCGCCCGGGTGGTCTACCCCGGTGGGGCTGAGGTGTCTGCTTTTCGCAACGCTGAACTCCTGGGCATCAACCCCAACCCGGCGTATGCCTGTCCTGTCCGGTCAATCGGCCGGTCTGTCTGTCTGTCTATTTCCCGTCGGGTCGGCTGTTTTTCGCCGCCGTGGTTGCGTCCAGCGATCGCAAGGTTGCTCGTCGCTCGCCTTCAGGATCCACTGCCGTCTGACTGCCGTACGTTGCGCTGCGTTGTGAGGTGGTGCGTGCGGCTCTGTCCTCTGTCCCCGTGCGATTGTTCATCTCTCAGGAGCTCCTAATGTTATCCAGTAGTATTCTTAGGATTTGGACCGGCATCCTATCCCGCTTTTCTATGAAAATGTCTCCCTGCGGCGCTGGCTCTCCGCGCGGCCTCGTGTGGCTAGCGAGCTGCATGGCGGATACAGGTCGCCCGTTAGGTCCCAAGGGCTGCTGCCTCCCTCTGCGCTGTATCGCGTCGTAACACTGTGTTGTACATTTAGTCCTCTCCTGCCGCCTGGCACAGCACTCTTGAGACATGATGGCTCCTGTCGATGGTTTGCCTCGGCGGCGCCGTTGGGGTAAAGGAGCTCTCGGGTTGCGATGCTGCAACCGACGACCTGTGCGTATGCTTGCGCCACATTCAGGTACGGAGCTGCTGCCTAGCGTCGAACAGGGCCGAGTAGGGGGAAGGCGTTTAGAAACGGTATTTGCCTGTCCGTCTGTATGTCGATCCACACAAGCGTGTGCGTTGCTGGTGCGTACTCTCCTTTCACGGCCTTCCAACCCCCAGGAGGGGGGTTGAGGGAGAGGAGGAGGAGGAGGAGGATCCAAACGGTCCCCTCCGGGGCACTAGCCTGTGTGGGTGCCCTGTGGTGGTGAGAGCGACACCCGGCTGTGCCGGATGGATGGTGGGCGGTGGGCAGTGCGCCAACTGTCGAAATGCGTGCGGAGCGGGCTGGGGACGTGGGTGTGGTTGAGGCGTGAATTGAGCGGCTGCCGCGCCCGTCTGTTTTAATGATCTGAGCCGCGATGAGGGAAATGTCGATTGTGGTATACCGGAGATTAACTGTGTACCGAAGCGAGCTTCGTGTATGTGTCCATGAATGTGTGCGCACGCGCGCGCGTGCATGTGTGTGTGTATGTGTTTAGTGTATTTTGGCTCTCGCTGCCCTTCCCTGCAAATTCGAAACCAACCTCCGTTCATCAGAACGCAAGGAAGGAAGAAAGGGTTGTTTTTAATGACCGCCCAAGCCCTCCGGATGGATGCAGGGCCGGCGGGCACGAGAGAGACCTCCCGTAACTCCCTACACATGTTTCTCCTTTCGCCCTGCTCATTTGCTTTTGCATGTACGTACTTTTGTACGGGATGTCTGATCAATTGTCCATCATTGCTTTTGTGCCTGGCAATAATCGGGGCCTTGTGCCTCGTTATGTTGTTCTCCCTGATCTAATGGTACTGAGTGCCTTTTTAAGTGAAAAGTGGCGCGGAACATGTGGATTACTGGTCCATGTTCTTTTGCCCAGACATTGCCTAAACGTATATACGCAACTCAGTCCTTAAACATGCCATGGCTAGCAGGCGGATTCCTGATTGGGTTTCGCATTTTCGACCTTGACAACTTGGTGACGCTGCGGCAGTGAAGAGGTTGGCTGACTAGCTGACTGGCAGGCTCTGTTTGGAGGTTGTTTAGGCCATAAATTGGCTTTTGGACATCCTTTTTTGGCTCAAGGTGCTCATGCGCTGCACCGGGGGTTCTACAACCCGTCGGAATTACCCGCAGCTTGCGACCGCGTTCATAGAAGAACCGGTCGCCCGGGACCAACAAAGCTGAGTTCCCCAACCCGACGCGGACCCTCGTAGCCAGACGTCAGGTCAGCTTGTCACAGCTAGTACTGTTAGCTGCGGCCACACTGTCGCCGCATCGCGCTCTTTGTTGGACCCCAGGGGGTCCCGACTTAGGGTTTCCCTTCCGCATGACGTCCGACTGTGGCCCCTTGCGTGATCCATTGCAAGGTCTTGTCGTCACTGTAATTCATCCTGTCCTCTTGTCCCCTTGCCAAATCTCTGAGGCTCTTCTGTATTACGGTTTGTGTTAAGGTTTATGTTCAGGTTTAGCCTTTAATCCAAAGCAACGGGTTCAGCGCCCGAACTGAAGCTGAATGTGCTGAGCTTTCCCAATGGAGTAGTACACTCACACACGTAGGGCTTACAAGCGTTACGCCAGGCAAGTCTAAGCCCTGGATATGTCAGCAACAAAGCTGTCAAGCCGGCATGTACGTGCCTGTAAATCCCGGTCGGCTTGTGGTGGGCTGGCCCATCGCCCGTCAGCAGCTCTTGGCTGGCCGAGCCCACCGAGAGGAGGCCTCCATGTGGTCATGGAGGACGTGGCGTTCTTGGCATTGCCATTGCCGTAGCGCCCTGGAGACGTCGTACAGGTCGTTGGCGGCAGGGCTCGTTTCCCCAGTGTGGAGGTGGAGGCGACGAGGGGAGAGCGCAGCAGGTCCTCCGGAACCGACCGATACGTTCGGCGGTTTTGGTGAAGGCTTCACTCCTCTTCATCCCTGGGACTGCCGCGCACTCCACACGGTCCGCTATGAACATGCCGCCTCCTGCGTATGCTGCACCCGTATGCCCATGCGCCCCTTCCCACCGCTATGAAGAGACTTGCGGCGCAGCCAAGACAGTGCGATGTGCAGCTGCAACGTGCCATTGCTCACACACACACACACACACACACACACACACACACACACACACACACACACAGCAGCCATCGCGACATCTCGCACGCAGGTCTCAGTGGCGCAACAGGCGCAATGTCCGGCGCCTTCATACCGCGTGGCTATCGCATCATAATAATGCTGATGCGCAGGTCCGCGGTGTGCAGCGGGTGGTGCGCGGCCGACACATGCACGCATGCCTGGTCCTCCTTCGTCCGATCCATACCTGGTCCTCCTCCGTCCGATCGCGTAGGCTGTAGCTAGGTTACTTACCTCCAGCAGCCTTCTCCTAGCTAAGAGCAGCTTGCAGTTTCGGGAGTGAGTTGGTGGTTACGAGCTGTTGATGTCAGCTGCTGGTCCTCTGGGAGCTGCCGTGCCCTGCTAAGCGTTCGATAGGCATGGGCCGTCCACGGGGTGAGAGACCTAGGTGGTAGGTCTATCCGTGTTTAGCTGCGACCCTATTGGGTCTTTGCCACCACCGTGGCCCCCAATAGCTGGCCGTGCCTAGGTCTCTCCACCCCCTCAAGGAGCGGGTCTTGGCAGGGGGGTGTCTCTGGTTGCTTTGCGCCGTCCGTGCTGTTTACGGAGCTCGCCTTTTCGCGCTTTTCCTGGGTCATTCAGTGTATATGGATGCGGTTGCAGCAACGGTAAAATCCGGTAATCCGGTCAGACCCCCTACAGCGTCATCCAATTAATCTGAGGACACTTTTTATTTCACAAAGATAAAGAAATTACAACACATCCAGCCGACTTGCAAAGCGCAGGACGTACTCTGACCTCCCAAAGCGAGATGAAGCAACCCACCAGCTATTAGAGGAAAACGCCTCAGTCAGACGCTGACGGCTGTCGTCCATTGCCCATCGCGAACCCACACGGACGCCGCCACACACACGGCCCCAACGCCGCCTTGCATAGGCTGCTTCGTGCCCGTCACATCATCGGCCGCATGTCGCGGGAAAGAGATGACGTCATCGCACCATGCGTTTCCTTCTCCAAACCCCACAAAGAAGACCGAACGGCACATACGAACGGCACACGAAACATATATTATTGTAGCGCGGCTCCAACCCGGCAATCGGCCGTGACCACAGCCGCAACCCCAGCCACGACACGGTAACGTCTTCCAGCTGCCACATCCGCCCCTCCGCAACAAACCAACCCCCGATGCGACACACACAGCAATCGGTGTAAGGCGGCAATGTGCGGCGGTGTGAGTATCACGCGCTCTTCGTACCCTCAGGCAGGCGCGCTCCCCGGCAGGCGCGATGATGGCATAGCACCCGAGCAGCTACGCGCCGCGGCGCGCCCAATACAGCCGACACTGCCCATTGGAGCGATACAACACCATCGCAGCCGCTCCCCCTTCCAGTGTACAACCGACACTGTTAGCCGAGGGAATAGGTCCGGAAGAATAGGAAAGGTTGTAGCTGGCCGTATTGAGGCCGCATCGTCGGTGCTGGCCGTCGGTACCGAGAGACTGCCGCCCTCCCCCAAGCTCCTTGGCCTGGACCCTGAACCCCCCCGGCGCCAAACGCAGTGGAAGGGGCAACAGGTCCCACATCCGACAGCAGTGGGGGGTAGACCCTGGAGGGACAGGAAGCCGTGTCGGCACACAGACACACCTCTTAAACACACGCAAGCAAACACACCACCGCTCTGAACACACTCCTTCAGGCGCCGCGAAAGCCGGCTCCGCAATCTCTTTTCATGTGGGCGAATGATGCACCCCCACGCTGTGCCGCATGCTGCTGCTGCAACACACACCACATCGCACCGTGTCGGACACATCGCTGCAGCTTACGCCAGAGCGCTTTTCAACAAGCAGCGGTGAGCTGGGGACGTCCATCCTTAGGTCAGCGGTTAGGTGGGTGAGCGCGAGGGAGAGGGGACTCGAGGAAAGGCCACCTAAGACACGACCATCTCATCGACCCCGAGCCCTGACTCCGGGCGCACACGCCTCCTCGCTGCCGTCCCCCTGTTATGGGCTCACTGGCCTCACTCCACCCCTCCCCCCCTTTCAGCTCTGTCCGCGGCAGTAGCGACACTGAAGCCTGTATTGCAGCGTTGCAAAACGCCGCAGTCCCCATCAACACCACCTCCTCCTCAAAGTCCCTCGAAACACGTCCCAAGACTACACATCCCCGCCACAACCTCCGCATCACGGCGACCACAACCCCAGGAAACCTCCCCCACAAACACACGCCCATTACGGTGAAAATCCGCCACCACTCCGCCGGACTGGCCGCGCACGCGCAGCGTCCCCCCCCCACATCCATCATGAACACCCGTGCGCGCGTGTGGCACCTGATTTGGGTGCGCCTCTCCGCAGGCGGTGGATACATCACGCCGAAGACAAGGGTTACTACGAATTGCGTTCTCATAATGACGTAACCCGATATGTGACGATGGCCAAACGCCTGCTGCTGCTGCTGCAGCTCGCGGCCCCAACTGCGGGGACCTGCAGCTTTAGCTAATGGCTGCTTGCAGGCTGATGCTGATGGAAAGTGGAGGTTGTGAGAGAGGAACACCCGGGGGATTGCCGGCGCTCAATGAGAGCCTCATTTGCTCTGAGCAAGTGGACGCCCTAAGAAGGCCGCCTTCCCCTCCCCTCCCCTCCTTCCCTTCCCCCGCGTCCCCTTTCCCCCAGGCGGTCCTTTCGCACTCGCCCTTAGGGGCCTTTGCCCCCCAAGAGCCTCTCCTTCCCCGCTCTCCCCTCCTTCTCCTCCTCCGCTCTCCCCTCCTTCCCCTCCCCCGCTCTCCCCTCCTTCCCCTCCCCCGCTCTCCCCTCCTTCCCCTCCCCCGCCACAGCAATCGCCGTTATGCATCCGTCGGCAATCCATGCGCAGGGAACGGACAAAACACAAACACACATAAAAGCGCATCTTCGCGTCCTCTCAGAGGACCAGATAAGATGACATGTCCGAAACCCATCCTGCAACCCCACACAGCAGCCGCAAAGCTGCTGCTGCAGGGGCCATTGAGATCACCCATGCACATCATGCTATTGCATCACATGCAAGAAAAAGAAACTGCGCGAACCCCAGCTCGGTGCCATTGAAGGCGACGATTGACGATGATGATGATGATGATGATGATGGCGGTAGGTGACAGTACCGCAGCTGTGAACTGATGACGGAAAAGCGCACCACCACCACGAGGCGCAAAGCCGGTTAGAGCCTCTTTCATGAGAGAGAACACTTCACACACAAAAAAACGCCTTTCCTGCGATACCTCCTCCTCCTCCTCCTGCTGCTGCTGCTGCTCGAGCGCGGTGTGATTTCTACTTCGATTTCGAGACCGGAGTTGAACAAGTACCTTGACAATTGCAGTGGTCGTAGTCATGCGTAGCGGTGGTAGCTGACAGCTGTCGCTTTCCCCTTGAAATCCAACAAGCTTGTTGCCATCCCCTTCACCTTCCTTGGCCACCGCCAGCCACCCCTCTACAGCCCTCGAACATACGACATCCACACAGGCCGCATTCCCATATATTAAAGCAAAACAGGCAAGGAAGGCCGGGAGGGAGCTTTTCGGCCTTTCCTGCCAATGGCCCCATCCACCCACCACTGTTTGTCCCCCTTGTAAACAGGGCACGGACACCAGCACATCGACATCGCAGCGAACACAGCACAGAACAGCTCCAGATGTCCTACATAGGGATATATGGACGGTTTTGGCTGGCAAGCCCCACAGCCGCACAGCAGCGCGACCGCACTCCTCCCCCTGGGTTAACAACTCCCTTTCTCTTGCGCGCGCGCGGAACACTTCTTTACGACGCACGGGGCACGTGCCACTGGCTGGCGGCTGGAAATGAGGAGAGCCGTCCGCCAAGCACATACGTACACATACACACACATACAGCACGACGAGCACGCTGCTTGCTTCAGGCGTCGCCATCCGTAATGCCCAGGGGATGGGCCACCAGTGCGTGCCGGTCACCGCCACCGGAGTCGCCGCTTGCACGGATGCGGAGCTTAACACCTCCAGACTCGTCCGTCCGCAGGGACAGCGCAAGGCCCCTGGTGGGCTCTGGCGGGGCCATTGACGGACCCGTCGATGGTGGCCGCGCTGCAGGAGGGCGGTTCGGCGCCGCCGCAGCCTGCGCCGGCTGCAGCGGCTCTGGCTTCTTGACTTCTCCTCCTGACACGTCAGTCTTCGCCACTCGGGCACCAACAGCAGCCGACCCAGCTAGTGCGACATCTGCAGCAGCTGCAGGAGAAGGAGCAACCTCTGGAGCCGGTGGAGGAAGATTCTTAACCGCGGCGGCGGCGCCGTCGGCGCCACCGGTAGCAGCCAGGGAGGGCAAGCTGATCTTCAGCTTCACATCTCCTGAATCGCCTGCCTTGAGGGAAACGGCAAGGCCTTTCTGTTTCTGTTGCTGCTGCTGCTGGTGTTGTTGTCGTTGTTGCTGTTGAGGTTGCTGCTGTTGTTGCGGTGGTGGCGGCGGCGACGGCTGTGTCCCCGACTTGGTCGGCGCGACAGAAGCGCCGGTCCCGCCAGCACCTCCGCCGCTGACGGCGGCAGTCTTAGGCGCGTTGGAGGCACCTCTGGGCCCAGGTGCTTGGGTCCCGCCGCTAATCATGCGGGCTACTGCGGCTTTTGCGTTTTCTGATACAGCCGCCTTTGCGCCTCCGCCAGATACAGTTGCAGCACTGCCGCCGCCGCTGCCGGCTGGTTCACCGCGCCGGCCACCTCCGCTACGGCCCGCACCGCCGCCACCCGCAGCTGCGCTTGCCTCTGATGCCGCTGCCGCAGCTGCCACCGCTGCCGCTGCGGCTGCTGCCGCTGCCGCAGGCGCAACGCTGGCGGCACCGGCGCCGCCAGTCGCCGTGGCCTGGCCAGGTGGGCCCCCGCGGTCGCGCCGTACAATACTGTTTGTACGGGCACCGCTTGCGGTGCTACTGCTGCCGCCACCTCCACCTCGCGGCTGCTGCTCCTTTGCAGACCCAGCGCCGCCACCGTCCTTGCGAGATGGCTCGGCAGAGCCCTGTCTGTGCTGCTGCTGTGGCTGTTGCCCTACGCGGCCGCCGCCGCCGCCGCCAGCCACTCCTCCTCCTCCTGGCGCCTCCTGAACCCTGTCGCCACCACGCCGACCGCGTTGCACACCTGAATCCTCTCCCCCTGCTGCTCCGCCACCTCGGCCAACACCTGCATTGCTGCCTCCTGCTGCTGCTGCTGCTGCTGCTGCTCCGCGACCCCCCGGCCCACCCTCGCCTCGATTGCTGCTGCTTGGAGCTGTCGAGGGCCCCGCCTGCTGCTGCTGCTGCTGTTGATGTCCGCTCTCCAAGTTACGGCGCTGCCTAGCGGCACGAGCTTCGTCCACAATTTCCTGCGCCGTGCGGCCCTGCGTGCCGCCACCTGCACGGCCCGTGTCGCGTCCGCCGCCGCCGCCGCCACCACCGCCTCCAGCGTCGCGACCCATAGGGCCCCCTTGACCAACGTTGCGGCCTGAATCCCTGCCACCACCTGTACGAATGCTATGGTCATCGCCGCCACGCGCGCCGGAGCGGCCGTCGCGGTTAGCGGCCACCACTGGCCCCTGGTGGACCTGCTGCCTGGCGCCGTCGTGCTGGCGACCGCTGCCCCGGCTGTCCCTGGAGGCGCGTGCAGACCGTGGCATGGGGGAGTGGAAACCCTAAGTACAAGAAGGCAACGAAAGGCGATGGTGTGCGAACTTGCGAGTCTGCAAATCTGCCGGTTACCTCCGTGTACAGGACCGCTGGCACGGAAGCTTGGTACAGAGATATCACACGATTCGGTTCAGACGCTAGCGGTGCGGTATGTTATAAGTAGTCAGGAGAAGAATATCCGCACCAGACCCAGGGAAGCATTAATGAAAGCTCAATAAAAGGGCGGGAAATGCTTCCGGCCAGAAGGATTCCCCCTCCACCCATCTTTACACGTCACATACTTCAGATTGGGGTGGGGAAGACGAACCACGAACGAGTGAAGCTGCTGCCAAGCAGCAGAACTGACCAGTAGCAGGGGGAGGTGCGCACAGCAAGCGGCGGCGGGGGCTACAGCTGCCCGCCATGTGTACGCAGTCGTGCCCTGTTGAAAGAAATTCGTATGCACCCCGCCTCAACCTCAGTACGCATCCCCCCTGGCCCGCTGCCCCGCCCCTTCGCACCTGTCAAACCTGTCATAGCCGTGGTGATCCAGGCGCACGTCCTGCTGCGCGCCTTGCCGAGGAGCCTGCGGGGGCTGCGCGCCCCGGCCTCCCCCGCCCCCTCCTCCCGCGGCAGCACCTCCACCTCCGGGGCCGGTTCCCCCGGTCGGCAGCAACCCCGACCACGATGGCGGCGGGCGACCGCGACGGAGGTCCTCCTGCGCGCGTTAGGAGAGTCAGCAGGGCAATCAGGGACGATGAAGACCAGATGGGAGTGGTTAGGCTTAGGGTCGGAAGATGGGATCGGACGAGAAGATGGACGAATGGAGGCTTACGCTGTACAAAAACGTCCTGACGCAGCGCTATTGCAATCGGAGGTGCGTACCGAGGCATCACTACCAGTATGGATGAACTCAAAGTTTGAACGAGGGGGAAGTTAGGGTCAGCGTTATGAAAGCAGGGACTTAGCATGTTGCTGGTCGTCGCAACAGCCTGGACCCACACCAACCCCACTACTACGACATCCACAGAACCGCCACCACCACCACCACCACCACCACCACCATCAGGCATGATGAACAGCACCACTACCACCACGCACCATCCGAAGCGGCTGATACTTGCGATGAGAGCCCACGGCATCCAGCAGCGCCCCGAGCGGAATGAACCACGGGTCACCGTTGCGGACCCCAGCAGCCCCCAGCTGCTCCGTAACCCGGGCGTTGTCGTACTGCCCGGCTCCCTGCAGTACAATGCCCACCACCCGTACGTCCAGTCGCAGATGGCCCTGCTTGCACCAGCTGACCATGCGGAAGGGCTCGAAGGGACCCTGCGCAAAAGCAAAAAACGGAAAAGAGATCATATACCAGAAGCAAACATCAGCTGACGATACGGGGGAGGGGGAAGGGGAGGGGTCGTGGTTCCATCTGGCCCGGAGAGTACCCGACCACCAAGACTTAATTAAATAAGCGCGGAAGAAAAGCAGTAATGCCAAGCCGTAAAGAAGTAAAGGGCATGGGGAGGGGGGACGGACAACCCCAAGACAGCGAAACCTCTCATGCCCCTCCCCCCTACTCGTACCCCCTCCTCCCTCTCTCCCCCTCACACCCGGGCCCCTGGACGCCGCCCACCTGAAGGAGCCCCCGGTCATCCAGGTAAAACCAAAACAGGTCCGCACTGTTGTCGCAGAAGAACAGCCCAACAGCATCCTGCAGGCGATCAGACTCGCCAGCGTCTCCGACGTCGCTGGGATTCGGAGTCTGGGACGGGCCCTGGGACCGAGTCGGCGGGCCCTGCTGCTCAGCCGCCGCCCCCGGCGCCTTGGCGGGCTGTGCGGCAACCTTGCCGGACGTCGCCCATTCCTGGTAAAAAAAGGGCCGAGTGCGATAAAGTTATAGAAGGTTCCTCGATAAAGCAGCTGGTTTGTTTGTTTGTTTGGACTCCATGCTCGGGAGTTCAAACCCGTCGCCGTTACTGCACCCCCAGTTAGCGGCTCCTCGCGGTCACCGGTTTTTTAAAACGTGGACATGGACTCATGTACGTGGACGCATTCACGTGCACACCCACGCACCCACCTCAAGGGAGGGTGCCGCTGCGGCGCTTGCACTTGCGCCAGCGCCCGCAGCAACGGTGCCTGGCGCTGCCGCCGCCGCCGCCTTCGGCGCCGGCACCCCCGCCATCACGGACGCCGCCGGCGAGGGCGGTGGGAAGGGCGGGCCCCCCAGGACGCGGTTCATGTCCCGCATGACCAGACCGATCTGAGTCCAGTATCCGCCCACGCACCGCACATAGACACCCGAGTCGAAGTGACCTGGGCATCAGCACGCACACAGCCCCCGCAATTGGGGGGAAGGGGGTATATGGCCACGATAGGGGAAGGAGAGGGCTGTGCAAGGAGGCGGGATGGTGGTGGTGGTGGTGGCGGCGGCGGTGGTTCACAGGGGCTGAAAAGTCGGCACAGCGAGCGCCGCACAGCGATGAGCAGGGTAGGATACACATACGGGCCACTGTAAGCAATTCACAGAGTATACATTACGATCGAACAGGTTCCGAAACCGGAAAGATCAAGGCGGTCTGGAAGAGGAGAACCACAGGGAAAGGCAGCCGCAAGAGAGGATGGCTCATCTGAGAAAATACAGCCAAGACATCGTAAGAGACACAGCTTTCTGGTGGGGCTTGGTGGGCGCCTGATGGGGCACATGTGTCCAAACAAGAGGCGTCCCATGCACGGCGCGTGCGAGATGCGGCCTTTGGGGGAAGAATGAACACAACAAAACGTTTTTCACCGAGGGTTTCACCGCAAGGCGCTTCATCGGATCATGGACAGCTGAAGCGCACGGGCGGCGGGGGAAGCGCATCAACGCAAGCAAGGTAAGCGCCAACTGCATCCTTTATGACGCGGGGGGGTCCCCGCAGAGGCTATGGGCTCACCAAGCTGCAACAGGAACTAATCCAGGCTGCAGAAACCCAAAACCCTAAAGAATCCAGGCACTACACTTCACATTAGTATAGCAGGGCTGGGGGGAGTCTCCCGCAGAAGCGGGGCGGTGGGGGACAAAAAGCGAGCAGCTGGTCGCCTCATCTATCCCCCGTTCACACGCCGTGCATCTTCACGCCATGCCATTTAGACACCAACACATCCACCTTGATCGCAACCCCTTACAAGCTAACCCCTGCACCCCTGGTTCCCCCCTCCCATTGAGTCACCCCGCGCGCGTACCTACGCACCACCAGTCGTACATATTCCGTACAGAGAACGGGCCCTGCACATTACCCTGGAACACGGGGGAAAGGGAGGGGATATGGTGGAATGGATAGGAATGGAATGCCGGGGAGGGGAAGAAATCAAGAGAAGGCAAGCGCAGTTCGCGCAGTTGACCGTTAAGACCGGACGGAGAAGCCACCGACCAGTGCCCCCAGGGGAAAACAGCAGCAGCAGGCCAGCGATGTGTAGCGCTCTTCCACGTCAGACGCTCAGGACATTCCAATAAAAGGTTCAGACTTTCAGGACGCCGTAAATATGCACCTACGGGCCCCCTTTCCCGGTCCACACGACCAACCCACAAATTCCCCTGTTACCTTCACCCCACACATGAAGGCGCATGTGTGTGTGTGTGCGAGGGGGCCGCGCCACGGCAATATCACTGCTGCTTTTCTGCCCCCGTACCCCTCACGTACGTGTCCATGCAGATACCTGCGTGCCCATTCGCCCCTTTGCCCCGTCTGCATCACTATTGCGCGAATCGCGCAGAACTCAGTTCGCCCCTCAGGGGCACCTGCAACGCAAAAGACCGGCGCCTACCTGTGTATCCAGATACTCCCATGCCACCTGGAACGGTGAAGTGCTGGCGATCTCGGGTAGAGCCGGCAACTCGGCAGCGCTGGCCGGCGCGCTCATCAAAGGCTGTGCCTGCTGCTGCTGCGGCTGCTGCTGGACTTGCAACTGCTGTGGCTGCTGCATTTGCTGCTGTGGCTGCATTTGCTGCTGTGGCTGCTGTGGCTGCATTTGCTGCTGTGGCTGCTGTGGCTGCATTTGCTGCTGTGGCTGCTGCATTTGCTGCTGTGGCTGCATTTGCTGCTGTGGCTGCTGCATTTGCTGCTGCGGCTGCTGCTGCTGCCACTGTTGCGAGGGTGCAGTGTTCATTTGCGCTTGCTGTTGCAATTCATACAACCTCGGCAGCGGCATAAAACCCGGCACTTGCAGCATAGCTGCCATGCGCTGGTCCAGATATTGCTGATCATATTGCTGTTGTTGCGGCTGCTGTGGCTGTTGCGGCTGTTGCGGCTGTTGTGGCTGTTGTGGCTGTTGTGGCTGCTGAGCCGGCGGCTGCTGTTGCTGCTGAAGCTGGGGTTGTTGTTGCTGTTGCTGCGGCGGTTGTTGCTGTTGCTGCTGTGCCTGCTGCGATGGCTTGCCATACATCATGCCCTGCTGGGCCGTGTGTTGCTGCAACAGTTCCTGCGTCAGCCGTGGCTGGCTGTGCTGCTGCGATTGCTGCTGCTGCTGCTGCTGTTGCACCTGCATCTGCTGCTGCATTGGCTGCTGCATCTGGTGGTGGTGCTGCTGCTGCTGCATGTTATGCAACATTTGCTGGTGCTGTTGATGCACAGATGCCGGTTCGTATTGTTGCTGCTGTTGCAACTTTGCCTGGTGCTGAGGTTGCTGGCCAGGAAGTTGCTGCGGTCGTGCTGTTGACGGATTAAAAGGCGATGGCGCGGATGTGTAAGCCGCCGCCGGAGTTGACGCCCCCGGGCCCCCGGGCTGTGCAACCGCCGCTGGGCCCATCTGTCCCCAGCCCGCCGCAGCTGACACCGCGGCTGCGGCTGCCGCAGCGCGGCTGGCGCCCGACTGGTCAAACGGATCCGAGGGGAACGGCTGTGTTGTTGCGCTGCTGGGCGGGGATGCGTTGGAAAGCATGTACTGCTCCATGATATTTACTTTGCCAGCTTGCGCCGCTCCGCCGCCAGGAGCACCCGGTACGGGCACCCCGGAGAAGCTCCCCGGAAAGGCAGCTCCGGAAGCGGGAGCAGAAGGAGCCGCGTTGGCCGGTGCTGCAGTTGCCGCCGCCGGCCGACCAGCGCCTTGAGCAGTATTGTTGCCGGCTGGCCCAGGGCCACCGCCATGTTGCATTTTATTGCCGCTTTGCGGCGCGACAGGAAGGCTGGATGTGGTTATGCCCCCGGGCGCTGCCGGTCCGCCCGTTGTGGCGTTGCTGTTAGCACCAGCACCCTGGCGTTGTTGACTGGAGCTGCCGCCGCCGCCGTTGGGCCCGGCGCCCGTGTTAATCGCGCTATGGTGCTGTCCGACATTGCCGCCGGTGAATGCAGCGGCACTCCCCACCAGACCCGAGCCGTTCAGCAGCGGGTTTGAGGCGTCGGTCCCCAGGGGTGCCCAACCCACACTGGCATTGCCTGGCGTTGTGGCAAATTCCAGGACTAAATTAGTTGGACCTCAATTATAGTTATTTAAGGACTCCCTGACAATATAATGCAAATTTGAGAGCTTTCAGAGGTGCAACGCCACTCCCACCGATTTGCGTGACGCGATCTTGGGCCGAAACAAACTAGCTACAGGACTCTCAGACAATATTCAATTGCATGACAGTTTCGCATGGAAGCACTGGAACATTATGCGGACACGAGCTGTTGTGCCGGTGTCGCCGACAGGACCGCGTTGGAACGCCATTACAACTACGAAGTGACACTTTCACAGGCCTCACGAAGAAGCCTAAAACGTAAATGACAAAAAAACCCGTTCCATAAGCGGGATTTACCAGGGGGGAACGCTCCACTTGGCGTCGAACTCCAAGCACCTGTTCCTGAAAACGGAAGGCCCACAGGGACGGCCCACCCAGAAGCACCTAGGCCCCTTCCACCAGCAGCAGGTGGACGACCTGCGCCGCTCATCCCGCTTGGCACCTAGTGGGTTCCACGCTGCGAGATCAGGCGGCGAGAGGGCAACACCAGCGAATCAAACCTATATCAGCCTCTCAGCTTTCCATCTAGGATGGTAAAAGAAAGCATAACGACATCTATATCTATCCTTCAGTGAACACCTGCGTGTACGCGCAACCCTCCAAACGCATTCGTTCTCGAATGCCAACCCTGGAGAATACCCCGAATCGCTATCACATGCCCTCACAAACGTGGATAAGCGCCGTAACTCACTGATGTGACTCCTTCAAGGCCGTGAGTGTCGGAGTAACGGACGATGGTGAAAAAGCAGAGAAACATGAGATTCTCGAGTATTGGCTAAAGCCTATTACACGAGAATGAATAAAAGTCTCGCAGGTTGAGGTTTGTGAAGTGCATCAAGCGAAAATGTCGCTCGTCCAACGCCGCAAAAAGCTCCCTGAGAGCGTGCTAGATAATCCCTGAAGAACTTCTTCTATATATCAGTCTTTATTAGCTATTTACGATACATAAGGTTGCAGGCCTGTTTCCTGGACAGCAGGCATTGTAGTTCAGCTGCGCAACCTGTAAGGATTGCATTCATTTCCTCATAGACCAGTCTTTGCTATATCCTTCTTGCTGGTGCGCGCTACGGGTCCAACGAGCGTAAACATACGTTAGGGGCCTGTATACCATGGATGCGCTGCGGTGAATATTTCTGGCGTAATCCCTAGCTAAGAGGCGGCTTGCTGGCTAGGCTGGAACTAGGATGGTAGGTGCTTCAATGGCGCTGACTCTCGCGTAGCATAAAATCATTATTCCAGCATTTTACAGCTACAATGATAGGGGCCCATTTCTTGCTGCAAAAGCCTGGACTGTGGCATGCAACAAACGGTTCTGGGTGTGATTTGCCGTCACACGCTCGTAGCACGAATACCTTTTGGCGTATGTTGTGTATGATGGAGACCCAAACGTGATTACTAGCCGCGGCACCGGGCCTTCTCAAGAAGGCTTGAACATTTCGATTTGCAGGCGACCCCTTTGGTGGCGGGTCTTGGGGTGGCGGCAGCGGCCTTCGTAGGAAAACAGGCGGTGCAAACCTACCTGAAGTTCAAATCCTCCTCGGGGACTATTCTGTCTGTCGGAAAGCAGTTCTACAAGGTATGAGGTCAGATGCTACACAGTTAGGCAACCTGCCTTGCACGCGCTGGCAGCTGCTTACAGGCCAGGGTGCGTGTGAGGTGACAGGCGGTCTGGGCCATTCCGAAAAGCATGTGCGATGCACGGTGCCAGAGACACGCCATTCCCATCTGCCTCTCTTCCAAAGCCGCCCGCATCCGAATGCAATCTTGCTTGCCTGCCTGTCTGCCTGCCTGCCTGCCTATGTTCATCACGTGTAAGCCAGTCCGCTGCGCCGTCTCCTCGCCCCTTTTCCCCTCATCCGTCCCCTTCTCCCTTTCGCTGCACACGATACTCTTCGCTCCCCAACTCCCTACTCCATTTCCTGCTGCCTGGGCTGCCTGCCCGCGCCCCTCTGCGCTGTCAATACCCATTTACTCAAGAGGACGGCAGAGCACCTCGTTTTGAAGTCTGGGATTTCCCTTACCCACTTTCCTACCCTGATTTGCATATCGGCAATTGTATCTTTGACGTTTCCATTTAGCCAGCCGTTAGCTCCGCGTCCCTCTCCCCCCCACAAACCCCTGCACACTCTTTCCTTGGCAGCAGCTTCACTCGATCGTCGTTCGTCTTTCCCCCCCCCCCAAACCCCTTTTAATCCACAGGGCGGCTTCCTGCCCGAGATGACCAAGCGCGAGGCCGCACTCATACTCGGGGTCCGGGAATCCGCTGGGGAGGAGCGAATCAAGGAGGCCCACCGGCGCATCATGGTGGCTAATCACCCGGACTCAGGTGCGGCTGGGGACCGCAGAGGGAACTTAGCGCAGAGGTCCTAGGGTTATCGAAGTTAATGACAAGGCAAAGTGCCTCTTGACACTCTCTCCACTCGCTGGCGGAGTGCGGCCCTTCCTCGTGTGGGTAGGGGGTTTACCCGGACTCAGGTTCGTTCGTTTGGATGGGCAGGACCGAAGGGGTGTACGGGCGGATATGCGGCGACTGCGTGAGCGTATGTTTCCTTGCTTCTGGCAGTGTATTGTTGGTGTACAGAAAACACTTGATAATGTAAAAGTCCTTTTATTGAAATCGACATCGGTAGAAGTATAGTGACAAACCGCGTGAGCCCTGAGCGGCGAAAGAATTGTAGGCTGGGTATGTGGGCCGCTGGCCCCGTGTGCGAATAGTTGTTGTTGTGGCTGAATGAATTGGCAGGAACGGGGAGAAGGGGGGTCTGTATTGTGTGCCGGTGTGATGGTTGCCGACCATGTGTTTTGGTTGCTTTGCGGGGTTGGGACAGCAGTGTTGGTGGTGTACAGGGCGTGGCGGCACAGGGTTGGGTGGGACGTGGGGATGCTGTTTGCATGGAGGGGTGGGGTTCATAGGTTGGAAAAGGGGATGGGAAAGTCTGCGGGGCGAAACGCTCGAGCGGGGACGGCGCGAGGAAGCCGAGAGTTTTTCCCTGTATAGAGACGAAGACCCTGTATATAACGGAAAGAGACGAAGTCACCAATTTGTCATACGGCTTCGTTCTGCGGCGTAAAGGCGGACTTTCACGTGACGATTTCAACGTTGCCCGTGGGAATTGATACCGGGATCACGATGCCAGTAGGCCAATGAAAGACCGCGGGGACCTGTATGACATCGGAAAAACGGATGGACGGTTCTCCACCTTCCCGTCCTCTTGCTATATTCCCTGCTGCAGTCTCAGCCCTGTTGCTTTGCTGTTCTTGCCCAGGTCTGTTGCTAATAATAATAATAATAATAACAATAATAATAATAATAACGTTTGCGTGACGTCGCCCTTCCTCTCTTTCGCTCCTTCGTGCGACTCCCAGGTGGCAGCAGTTACATCGCCGCCAAGGTCAACGAGGCCAAGGACCTCTTGTTGGGAAAGAAGAAGTCAGGGCAATCGCCGTTTTAGGACTGGATTTCTAAATTTTGACAACGATAGTGGTCGCTCAATGGTTTGCCCGGTCGCCGCGCACATAAGAGGGAACCAATTCCCGACCAAGCAACGCACCGTGGTGATCTTGTTCCTTGTCATCTGAGGGGGCGACCGGGGGCTGTACCGCTTTGCGAGGCGCTTGCAGCCGTATCGTACGGCGCTGTAGTGTATAACTGGGATGGAGAGTTGCCGAGTGTGTTGTGTGAAAAGTGTAAGTGGTATGGCTTGGATAGGCTGGATAGCGGGCCTCTTCCGTCGCAGGTGCGGCGGCGATGGCACCGCAACGCTGTGTAATGGCCTTTCTCCGTCGGCCGGTTGCTGAGAGGTCGCTCGGGGGCTGGCTGGTGCGCAGGGAAGCATCGGCATCTCGACTCACAAGACCGCTCGCTTGGTGTCGCGGACGAGGGGAATCTAGTGGGCACGTATTACCCGTAGAGATGGATGGGTGGATGGCGGTTATGGCTGCGGCGATTGTGAGGGGGGTGTCGGTAAAGCTGCCATACGTGTTATCCACATTGCGGCATGCCATTGGGGGCAGGCAGAGGAGGAGGGCGGATGAAATGTGTCGTAGGCGTAGGTGTAGAAGCAGGCATAAGGCGCTGAAGGCGGGTGGGGTAAGCTCGAGAGTTTACACGCAGGAGGAGGACGAGGGGGACGAGGACGAATAGGAAGTAGTGATTTCGGCTTGGAAAGAACGAAAGCTTGTGTGCAGACATGCGGTGGATTGAACTTGCGGCTTGCGGCCGATGGTCGTGCCTGCCAAGATCGTGCTTGGTTACTGCGAGTATACAACTGGGTCGACCTGCCGCCGCTGGTTTGTGAATCTACCTCTTAATTTGCAGGCTGGTTGTCCAGTAAGGTCCTTAACTGCTTCAATTGACCCGACGGGACATTTTTATGTGATTAGTCTGTGCAGCAAAGAAACTATCAATCCAAATAGAGGGTAGGACAAACTGTCGGGCAGAGCAATTCTTTTGTCAGGAATAAAATCCAGGCTAATTCTGCGACAGAGCTCTTCCCTAATTCCAGCCCGAATCCTACCCTCCTATCCAAAACAACCCCATTATCCGCAAACTTCCAGAAACGGTTACGGTATCGCATTTCGCATGGTAAGCTGCGGCATGGAGCAAGTATGACGTGGTTTTACGCAGAAAGGTTTATATTTCTAGACCGCAAAGTGTCTGTGACGACAGCATGCAGGGCTGTATTTGAAGGCGGTGTCAAGGGAACGAATTGCATGCGTGCTACAACAGCCGGCATGGATGTGAAATTTGAAGCATGTGGCAACGTCACATTGCCGAACACTCTTCGGTTGTTGGTAAGTGCATGTCACCTAACCGTTTGTGCAATGAAGGCCTGGTCTGCACGAAAAGGTTCATGGAGCCTTTCCGTAGGGGCCAATAAGCAAAACCTGAATAATCGATGTTTTTTATAGTAGTGAACTAAATATTAAATTTATGATATACATTAAAGGGTAGCTCGCAGACTGGCCTTGTGGCCTTCGCGCCGACACACAAAGTCCTCTATCCTTCTTGGCTGTGACAGACCCGTGCAGGGCAATTTACATAGTTATTTATATTTGATTGTCTATACTGCTTGTTAATTTCAAACCAGCCGACGGCATCACATCGGAAGTATGACAAACGCCAGCCTACAGCGGCCAACTCCCCTTACAGGCTGCGCAAATGGTGATGCCAGCACTAGCGGAAGGTCACACGCAGTAACTGCCTTCCAACAACGCCGCCGCCAAGTTCATGCCAGGCAAGGATGGGCAGCATCTACATTCCTCGTCTTTCGCAATCGTGAAGCTCGCGCCACGGCCTTGGTGTGTCGGAGCATAGCAGACGGCCACGACGTGAACCGCTTGAAAGACTGCAACGTGCCTGAACTGGAGACGTTCCTCCGGACATATCGAGAACGGAATCAGAGTGAGTGACATGGACCGGCTTGCACAACAACCCTAAGTGTGCTGACGCGACATGAAGGACCCGCAGTCTCCACCAATACAGCCCCAGCATCAACGGTATCATCCCAATCTACCACATACCAACGCACCTCATAAAGATGTCTCCCGCTCCATGCGCGTTGGCAACTCAGCAGATATCGCAAGGGCCTACCCTACCTTAATCTGGGGCATCACACTGCCCAATCAACCTTCAGGACTTTACGCACATGCACTCCCTTTGCACTCATCCGTTACTTGAGAACCGCACGCACTTCGGCTCTATCCCTCTCGCCACAAGTCCAAGCCGTTCTCTCCCCCAGTTGTCTTCACTCCCGTATGCGCATTCTATCCCACTGACACGGTGTTTTTTCTTTCCCCTCCCGTACCCATTCCCTTCAGCCCCTTCGTCAAGCCCCGGGGAGGTCTTCCTGGTGGGAACGGGACCCGGCGACCCGGGACTCCTAACGCTGCGCGCAGCCCAGCTAATGGCCTCGGCCGATGTCGTACTGTACGACCGCTTGGTTTCGGATGAGATTCTGCAGTTGGTAAACCCCGCCGCGCGGATGGTGTATGTGGGCAAGACGGCTGGCTACCACACACGGCGACAGGAGGAGATTCACGAACTCCTGCTGGCCTTTGCGGAGGCGGGTGAGTCGCTGTTTGGTATTGCTATCAGCGGCGCCTGCCGTGGTGGTTGCTGCGACGCGTGTTGCGTTGCCCTCTCTCCGCCCGTGCTGCTGTGCATCAAATCATGCAGCATGAGCCCACCCGCGGAGAATGTTTTCAGTTGATAATGTTGATGTAATTGAGGCCGATTGGCGTGTCTGCCTGCCTTAATAATAATTGCGCCGCAATGCCCGATCAATCAAGGCGCGCTAAAAGTTGATTTACATGAAAAACAAATGCGGCTTCTTTGCCAGTTTGTGACTGTTTTGCTTGGAATTGAACCAATGCGGCTGGAACATGACTGCAGCTTCCCGCCCTCCATCACGTCCCGCCAGGTGCACTGGTAGTCCGGCTCAAAGGCGGGGACCCCTATGTGTTTGGTCGTGGTGGTGAGGAGGTGCAGTACCTGACTTCGCGGGGCATCCGCGTGCATTGCGTACCTGGCATCACCGCAGCGGCAGGTGTGTATGTATGCACGTATATGTATGTATGTATGTATGTATGTATGCATGCACGTATATGAATGTGTAAAGTTGCGCGTTTTCCTTCCTGGCGTATTATCGGGTGAAACCTTGGTAAGCCCCGACCGAGAGTCAGGTTGTAGGCAGCGGGCATACTTTAGGCCATCAAATGCGAACGAATATCCAAATGCGAATGATTATTCAAATACGAATGCGAAGCGACAGCCGCCTTGCCTGCGTCGCACCACTCTGGTGCCCATTCGTCTGTCTGTTCATCCGTCGAACCTACTTGTCTGTCTGTCTGACTGTTACGCTGTTACGCTGCTGTCCTTGTTACCCGCCAGGAATTTGTGCAGAGTTGGGCATTCCCCTGACGCATCGCGGTGTGGCCACCTCTGCTCGCTTCCTCACGGGCCACTCGAGGGAGGGCAGCGAGGAGGCGCTGGATGAGTCAGTGGCGCTGGCAGCGGATCCCCACACCACCCTCATTGTGTACATGGGCCTCCAGGTGGGCGTGGCAGTGGCGGTGGTGGGTGCCGCCTTCTGATGCGAAATGGTGTAACGGTAACGGACAAGGAGGATGTGAAGAGGATGTGAAGCACGTCTCCGGGGAAACGCAGCACTTTTTGTTATTGCTGGCTTGCTTCCATCCATCGCCATTGCGCACAACATTTGCTGTTGTCGTTACCGTCACTGTAGCAATAGTGATTCGCCATGACAGCCAACGTCTATAATCATCATCCCGTTCTCACGACCACCAAAGCAACGAACTTTCGTTGTAACGAACTAACCAGCCAAGTAACCAACTTTTTCTCGTCCCTCACGCAGACCCTGGCCAAGCTGACTCAGCAACTCCTAACCGCCGGCATGTCGCCCGACACGCCTGCGGTTGCCGTGGAGCGCGGTACGACAGTCCACCGCCGCGTGGTGTACGGCACGGTATCGGAGCTGCATTCACTAGCTTCAGCTGCAGGTCTACGCACGCCCACTCTCATTCTGTTGGGTCGTGTGGTGGGTTTGAGCCCGGGATGGCAAGCTTGGAGTGAAGGCGGGCGCCCGTTGGAGTGGAACGAGGCTAGCAGCTACCCGCCCTTGAAGCTACAGTTGGGGGTGGACTTGACGCCGCCGGAGAAGGGCACTGGGGTGTCGGGGCTGGGGCGCGGAGATGTGGCTGTGGGGGGGGCCGGGGTGGGCAGGGAAGCGGGGCAGAGGCCGTTGTTGGGGGTATAGAGTTTGGAGCTGGTGTGGGGTTAGCGTGTGTGTGTTTGGGGGTGTGGGGAGGGCGGGTGACGCGGAGTACGTGTGTGCCACCCTCCCACTGCTAAGCCGGACGTTCATCGTACGCCGTACTATCAACACAAATATTTACTTCATGTACATGTTTTCACTGGGCTGTTACGGTGCAGGAGGGGAGGCGCTGTGGGGTGGGTGCTGGGGCTCGCGTACGTATGTATGTATGTACGTGTACATGCGCATATGCAAGAACGCATACCGACAAACGTCGTGAGCATGTCGACCGTTTGCAATTGGCACTTACGGAACGAAGTGTAGGCATTAGCAATGTTCACGTGCTGCCGGTGGTGTGATTTGATGTTTCGGTGATCCAACAGTTAGTTTAGTTTCCAGTTAGTAAAGCTGGACATGTGGGCCTATCGTGCACCATACCTTCAGTGCTTATATTAGCATTGGAAAAGGGTTCTTCGCTGTATCGGTCTGGTCTGTCACCTCCTGTGTGGATGTAAAGTAAATACATGCAAATCGTTGTATTTTCCGTATACTGTACGGCAGCAGATGTGTCAAGTGCATGTGTGAGACATAGCGAGAAGACAACAATTGCTGAAATGGCCGTTACACAAACGGGCGCATTTTTAGTGAAGACTTCCTTCCTGCAGCCTATGTACTCTTTATCTTTGCAAGCATTTGTGAAACCTTGTAAACATAAAAACGGTTTTCCTGTACTTTGTTAAACTACGAACACCTCAATTATGGTTGCGGAAAAGTAAGTCGTTCCACTTCTGACTGAGCCGCTATGATCGAGTTTGGTCGTTGTGGTTTGTAAGGGTATCCTTGCTGCTAGGCTCATGGTGATAACTTTCTGGAAGATAAGTGGAACCCGGTGGGCACTGGCTCACACATAGCTCGAATCCGAAATTGATGTTCCGGTGGTCTATGTCAGTTAAACGTGGCAGATCGGCGGGGGGAAAGCCACCACGGCCCACGGGAAGCTATTTTCGCGCACAGTTTTATGTGGAACAATTCCTTCTCGATGAATCGGTAGGAAATTGCAGTAGCTTGTAACAATTCTCAGTTCAGCGGTGGCATGCGAGTCATCAGACAACGTTGACTGACTGACTGACTGACTGACTGACTGACAGCAGTGAACCCCCGGGGCCTCGCCCAAAAAGGAAGGGAAAGGAGGGGAGATGTGGGTCTGTATGTATGTTTGGGGTGTGGGGAAAATGGGGGACGAGGCTTGAGGAATACCCGGCCATGCACTAACTCGTCACCGACAGTATGTGTGAAGGTTATGCTGGCGGCCGTGTTCTGGCAGCTAAGCATGAGATTGCGAGGTCTGGTGCCATGTGGTGTTGCACGCAGCATGATGCCGATGTCTTGATGCTGAGGTGCGGCGCTTCGGCGGCCTCCACTTTCAGGTCGTCCTGTGCGCCTCAGGTTATGTATGTTGATGAGCACACGGGGTGCTTGCCGTATTTGGCTCTGGCAGAGTGAGGGTGGGTACTAAAAAAAGCTATTTTGTGTACTATCACCCCATGAAACTCGTTGCGTTTTGCTGCGGTTTTTATTCTTTCCTCGTTTCGCTCTAATGCCAGCTAGAGCCCTGCAGGTGCAGCCTTAACGTCGGCTGAATTCCAGAGGTGGACCCCGTAAAAATGTTTGTTTAGGAGGCTTGGTACGAACAGCGCGACCCGCGCATACATACAGACATATGGTCAGACAGAAATGGACGGGACGAACACCGACGGGTCTCCTGGCCATGCGCAACATCTAAACCTTATGCGTTTCGCGGTGACTGTAGGACTTTCTAGGGACGGAACAGGAGTACCATAGAAGGTACTCCTGTTAACCATTCTATGGTACTCCTGTCAACCATTCTATGTCCAGCTCGAAGAGCCGTTTCATCGATTAAGCGCCAACTCTTTACTTTTAACATTCTACGTATATTGGCCTAAAATTGTCGATGTACTCCGTGATAAAGTCGTGCAACTCATCACAGTTGCGCAACCCATCATAGCGGGCCATCCCAACCATCACAATACAAGAAGACGCCTTTAGCTACATAAGTATTGCTCCGCATGGTGACTTTTGCAGATGTTGAGAAAGCTTCGTCATCATTGTCGAGCGTGAACAACCTTGACGGAATACTTCTAACGGACCACCATCATACAGCTAACTTGATTATTAAAATTCACACCGGTAAAGTTGCACATGCTCTGCCTAACCATCAACAACACTTGCGCGCCAGTGGGAACGGAGTCGAAGGCAGAAGATGCGCGTACGGCACTATTTTTCGGCCGTCCATTCAGCATTTGTCATGGCCCATTGGTCTACGAGTTGTGACATCTGCGGTGCAGTGCATCAAATAATAACTGCTGTAGGCATAAGCGTTTCAAACATTTACTGCCGTCTACTTGACTTTTGGGCTCAGGGGAAGAAGGAAGGCAGTATGTTTCACAAAAATGGAAGGCACTTTCATGACAGCCCTGCAGCCAGCTGTCCTTATCACTCGCTAGTAAGACATACTGTGGCGAAGCACGACGTGCAAGCTGCTTAATTTGATGCTCAGGGGCTTACGAGGTTCTGGCGGGCCCCGACGATTGCGCTGCAGGCACGTTCTCGTTTTGGGTGCCGAAGGCGCACATGGCTACATGCGAGCGCGATGTCGGCGCTTGCGGCTCCTGCAACATACCCCCAGCCGAATGAACTCGTTGTGGCGTCATCCGTGAGCCCTTCCCCCGCCGTTCAGCGCATTCTGTTAGCAAATGGCTACACGCATATCAAGGAAGTGTTCGCTACACACCGTGCCACGATGGCTCCTGCGGACTTTGCTTTGGCCTGGGTTCGGCTGGTGAGAATTGTACAAGACACACCGTAAGAACCAGAACTGCTTTTCGTTTTGAAAAGGTGCAAAAATGCAACCTTTCATTCCAATCAATGCTTCTGGCACTACAATTTTGGGGCAACTTGAAGAAGCTGCTGCGATGTTGACTGCAACATCCCTCGCTCCGGCGGTCAACATCCCCGAACCCTTTTTGGCGCCGCTAATGCGCAGGCAAAGATAAGCAAGGACCCTGTGCAACGCTTATCACCTGAACTCCAGAAATTTGTGGTAAGTTCGGAAACCTACGAAGTCCGCCCGCCGCATTCATAATTACATACAACCCTCCGCCCACCTGTTGGTGTTGCCACAGGACCAGGCGCTGGGCGTACCGTGCAATTCAACTTCATAACTGTAACTGTGCCTTTTGACAGATCGCCGCCGCCCGCTTCCACCTAGCAGCCTAGAGAGCGGTCCGTGAACCTCCAACCCCCTCTACCTCTCATCCTGCCCTTGCTCTCTGACCTCTTCGACCCGTTTTTCGCTTGCGATCTTCCCCGTTCCTTCGCCCATCGTCGCCCTTGCCTTCCGTTGGTTGATCATAGTTTAATTTTATCTTTTCTACTTAACTCTTCCTTCGCACATCTTGGCCCACCTCATCCCGCGCCAAGGGTTGCATTTTCGTGCGCACTGCCCTTTCGGTGCCATGGCGTGATGTACTGCGCGGTGCTGTGATCTGCACAGTGGTGACAGCCCGTGTGCTTTCTGGCGCTGTGTGGTGCGGTGCTGTGTGGACTGCAGGACATCCTCGCGTGTGCCACCATCGACCGAATGTCTCATTTCTCTCCCGCCCATCTTTGCTCCGTCATTTGGGCCGCCTCCAAGCTCAAAAAGGATGTTGCGCAGAGCGGCATGTTCAAATCATTCCTCAAGGTAGGTGCGTTCCGAAACCGTGGCGGTTTCACGGTTAAAACCGCCACATGTCGATGAACCTGCCCGTATCGAAACCGTAAGATACCGAAACCATCACATACCTTAAGTACCCTTGCCAACCACCACCGCCACCTCCTCGCTGTGCATCACTACTGCCAGCACCGTCCCGAGTGCTATCAACACCAGAAGTACCGGCATCGCACTCCCAACCCACTCCCAATATTCTGTTATTGCCAACCTACGACTACCGGCATTGGATATGACCAACACTTGCGCCTTCTCCCTTCGGCCCCCTTTCACCTCCCTCCGCTCCCCTCCCCTTCCCTTCCCCCGGCAGTTAATGCTTTGCTTTTTGCAAATAATTCCGCTCCCCCTTCTCTCCCACTGGTCTTCCGTTTTCAGCTCTGTATGTGTGTTTTGACCTAGAGTTAGGTTACCGTCCAATGCTGTATTAGGTTCTATTGCCGCCAATATGCTAAATCCCCCCATAATCTCAATCCTCTGAGTCCACCCAACTTGACGTTCCTCTCGATCTTAACAATGTCTCGATTTCAGTCCTGGGCGGCTGAGATCGAGCCCCACCTGGAGTGTTTAGATCTCGACAAGCTCCGAAAATGCATGGCAGCCGTCACCCGGGTTTCCTTCAACCCGGGGCCAAGCTGGACGATGAAAGTGGAAGTTGCGCTCACACGCCGCCTGGGTGCCTTCAGCGGCGGCGGCGCCAACGACGCCAAGACGCTGGCCTGTTGCCTGGTCTCCGCAGCCAGCTTGGGCTTCGCGCAGCGCCCCTCCCTGGAGTTCCGGGAAGCCATCGCGGCCGCCTGCGGAGCCGCCTTTGCGCCTGGACGCGGCGGCATCGCCGCCGCCGCCGGCTCCGCGCGTGGCGGCGGATCGGCGGCGCGTTGCGCCGCTAGCGCCCTGTGGGCGGCGGCTGTACTTGGTGTACCGTTGAGCCATGCTACAGTGCAGGCGATGCTCGTACAAGTCACGGCCGTGGCGGGCAGTGGCGGGGACGGGGCGACAGGAGCATCGTCATCGTCGCTGCCGCAATGGCGCATGGAACCTGCGGCGGCAGTGCCACCGGCCGGTGGGGGTACCGGAGTACCGATGTCTCGTACGGATGCGGGTTTCGAATCGGCGACAACGTCACCAGCATCGTTGTCATCGTCTTACACATCGCCCTCTGTTTCTAGGGTTGGTTCGACGGCAGCGGCAGCGTTGAGCAGCAGCAGCAGCAGCGGTAGCGGCGATTTCGGCAGCGACCGAGGCAGAGTAAGATCATCATCATCATTATCGTCATCATTATCGTCATCGTCACCGCCGACGGGAGAAGTCGCTTTGACGCCGCTTGATTTCGCGCAGGTGCGTTGTAGCTGCACGGGCCTTATGGGGGGGATTGGTTGATGGTTCCCTTCTCGGTGGCGCACGGTTGTCAACGGTTGTCACGCTTATGACCGTTATTACCGTTGAAGCGTACGAGGTCGCAACTAACTCAGGCACACGGATGGGGCCCACACGTGCCTTCCTTTCCCCCGTTCCAGAGTGGTGATGGCGGTGTTGGTGTTGGTGTTGGTGTCGGAGGAGTTCATTATTCGGCTGATTCGCTCGGGACCTTCTCACTGGTGTGCATAGCTGCGTTAATCCTACCTCCGAACTACTGCCGTATCGTTTGACTGTCCCTGCCGCCCTGCTCGCTCACGTGCATTTCAACACGCGCGAGGTGGCATTGGAGGTCTTCTTCCAGCGTCGCGTTAGCTGCGGGAATATTACCCGCCACGGCTGGTTTGTCTTGGTTTACGCAGTGGCCTTTTCTGTCGTCGTTGCATTACCTGTCTGTCGGTCTGTCTGTCGGTCGGTCCGAACTTGAAAACAGGTGTTTTGGGCTCTGTCCAAGCTGCGCTACAGTCCGGGTGAGCCGGAGCTGTCCCGGCTGCTGACGGCCAGTGCGCAGCTGCTACCCAGCGCACCGCCGGAACTGCTGGCCACCGTTCTGTGGGGGTTGGCGGACCTCGAGGTGGGTGCGGGTGCGGAATAAGCTGTGGGGTTGGGGTGGGGATGTGGGTGCAGGGTGGCGTGGGGGTGGGGATGTGGTGGCGGGGTGGAGGGGAGCATGCACCGTGTTTTACAGCTTCAAGCAACGCAACTCTCGTCGGGCAGGGATTACACCTGGGGGGGGATAGGGAGGGGGGTACCGATGGATATGGGTTGCCACTGGATCACTACGAGGCGAAGCGAAGGTTGAGACGGGGTGGAAATGATGACCTTGAGGGGGGAGAGAGAGAGAGGGGCAGATGGAGAGGTCGGCTTCAGGGATATGTATCGGGCAGGAGGGGAAGGGAGTGGACTTTCAAAGGGGCATCCGGCCGATAGAAGCCGCGGATGCAGGATTAGCTTCGGTCTGGCTGGCTTTTGGCGTCTTCTATTGAGCCGTATATGCTGCCGCAGCAGCTGCCTCTGCCTCTGCCGCTCCGGCTATTGTGGTGTGGCACAGCTACTGCCGACTTTTGTCGTACTCACTCCCTCCAGAGTTTTTCCACTTGTTGCCTTCACTGCCCCCACCCCCACACTGACTCCCCCATCCGCAACTCCCCCATCAGCGGCGCCTCGTTGCCATTCTGCCCTTCCACGCATTCGAACCCCGCACGCACACCCTCCCCTCGTTTCCGCCCGCCCACCCAAACCACAACCAAACACGCCCATCTCCGTTTTCCCCCTCTCTTCCCACCTCCTTTCCCTCTCTTCCACATACACATACACATACACGCACGCGTGCGCCCAGTTGGTTCCCCCCGCCTCGTGGCTCCAGCTTACCTACTCGTCCTTCGAGCGGCAACTGGACGCCGCCAGCGCCGAGCCCCTGCAGGCCCTGCTGCATGCGGCCGCCACGCTGCAGCTGCCCGCACCTCAGTGGAGCGACAAGCTCATGGAGCGACTACAGGTAGGCCGCGCGATGGGTGGGTGTGTGTGGGGGAGGAAATCCGTAAAGTAATGACGCAACTGCCACCGCCTATCCGAACCCGAACGTGTATGCACGTCGAGACGCCTGCATGTCCCCCTTCGCCTCCCCCTGACCCCTCTTCGTCGGTTACTACGGGATTTTGCGGCTTTGGACGAATCGGCCTAGTTGTTTCCCGTCTTGACTTTCCGCATGACTTCGCATTTCCCCCTTTTGTTCTCCTCTTCACGCACTCACCACTCACTCACCACTCACCACTCGCCACTCACCACTCACTCACCACGCACTCACCACTCGCCACTCACTCACCACTCACTCACCACTCGCCACTCACTCGCCACTCACTCGCCACTCACCACGCACTCACTCACCACGCACTCACCACGCACTCACCACTCGCCACTCATTCGCCACTCACTCACTCACCACGCACTCACCACGCACTCACCACGCACTCACCACGCACTCACCACGCACTCACCACGCACTCGCCACTCGCCACACACACCACACACTCGCCACGCACTCACTCGCCACTCACTCGCCACCCACCTCCCTTCCCCCCAGGACGTGGATCTGCAGGTGCTCCCGGACGGCAATGTGGTGGACCTAGTCATGTCCATGCACGCGCTGGCTATGCACCCGCCGCCCCAGCTGGCGCACAGACTCCAGGACGAGTGCTTAAAGAGGCTGGCCTCGCGACGTGGCGCCGCGGCGGCTGGGCCGGAGGCGACGGCGCGGACGTCAGCGGCTGCGGGGGCCCCCCCTATGGAAGGCAGAGCGACGTCCGGTGCCTCCTCCTCCTCCGCCGGCGGCGGCGGCGGCAGTGTCGTTGCTGTCGCGTGAAGGTCATGGCGGCTGCCTTAGACCCCCCTGAGAGGGAGCTGTGCGTGCATGTTTGCGGTTGGAAGTCATGCACGGTGATTTATGTTGATGATGATGTTGATGATGATGCAATAGAAGCAGAAATAAAGAATCAACTGTGTCGAGGTCCAAAGGCGCAACTGCTGTTGGGGCCGGTGGGGAGGCACTCTTTCTTTTGCTCTTATCGACCTCCCGGTGAGGAGGAGCGGGATGAAAAAGGGGGATCACATGGTGATAGTATGCTGTTGATTTACAAAAGTCAGAGACGCAACTGCCGATGACGTCCGAAGCGCCGAAACACGGGAGGGGAGGGAGGGAGGGGAAAAGACGTAGAACTGAAGGAGGGAGGGAGGGGGAAAGACGAACCACGAACGAGTGAAGGTGCTGCCAGGGCAAGAGTGTACCAGACGTAGAACTGAGGGAGGGAGGGAGGGAGGGGAACTTTCCCTTCGTTCCCCGGGTCTCCTTGACACCAGTAGAGGTCGAATCCGGGAGGAGGAAGGGAAGGGGGGAGGCTGTCGGCGAAGTTGGCACACGGGGAGGGAAGTTCGCGGGCATTGGGTTTCATGTCTTGGGGGGATATCGGGGGATGGTGACGTTATTGAGGGGTGACAGACGGGAGGGGAGTGCAGCGAAGAGGTGAAGGAAATCTGTATTGTGTTGGTTGGGTCACTGGTTATTCTGAATCACGTACAGGTACACCAGCTATGATGGCACATGAGTAAACTTACGTACTGGAAGAAGTAGATCAGATAGGATTTGGGCGGGTGGGTGGGTGCGCGACCGGTCGCGGACGGTGCTGTTCGTTGTGGTAGCGGCGGCGGTGACTGTGATGAGCATGACGTGCGCATATACCTGTGGAGGCGAGCATGTTGTTGCAGCATTACTAGAGGCTTCGTTAGTGACGCGCAAATAAATACGTGTAAATTCGGTGTAGAGCTAGTGGATTTTGGTAGGATCTGGGGCACCTTGGTGTGGCACCTTAGGTAGACATGGGCAGCAATGTCAGGTGCTTGTGCAGGGGGAGGGACTCGACTGACCGGGCGTCCTCGTTAGATAAGGAGGAAAAGATCAAAACAGGCTCAAAACGGATCGACAAAGGAGTTTTATATTTGTGTGCAACGGTATGGAAGGCATAAGGTGAGGTGATGTGCAATCGGTCTTGTGAATGAATGCTACATGAGAACAATTGGACAAAGCAGATGGGGGAAGAAAGGGGAGGGGGAGGAGTGTGCAAGAGGAAGGGTCTGTATTCTTTGATGATTATTTACACCGGCTGTCACTCCTCATGCGTTCCTCTTTCCCCCCCTCTCTGTTTCCACTGTGCGCATCTCTGTGTTCTGTTTCGCACCGTCTGCGCTGGCGGAAATCAGGAGGGGAGTGTCTGCCACTTGAGGGGTCGGTGACCAGCTTCTGAAGGGTATTTACGTAACATTGTAAGGACAAGGACAACCAGCCCCTTGCCTCCTCTCTTTCTCCTTCCTTCCCTTCCCTCTTATCCTTCGTGCGCTGCCTTAAGCTTATGGTTAGTTCAATCCTTCAGGCCAGGGAAAACCTCCCGGTCCTTTTAGTGGGAGCTGCAGACTGCAGCTGCAGACATCGCTTTTTCGCTAATGGGTCAGAGTTGCTGTGAGACAGCATGCGAACGCATAACTGGAAAATTTTCCGTCGGGAAAGGTGTGTCGTACCGTTATGGTGAAACCCTTATTACCTGGCCGGCGATGTATCCCTCCTACCGCAATGCCATTAATGTATTGAGGCATGTCCCTCGAAAATGGTTAACTATAGGCCTCCTCCGCCACATGAGCCTGATGCGCCAGGCGATTTCAACGCAGAAAATGTTGGCACACAGACCAATTTTGCACCTTTGACAAATACAGGGACTCAAACGAGTAGTCTGCTTCAACCAGCTTCACACAACCAAGTTACACAAACTTTACGCACAAACGTCAGCGACAGCCAGACGCAGACCATCTCCATCGCAGAACCAGAAATGCAGCGCTCCACGCTAGAAAGCCAAACTGTAAGCGTTTGCCTTGTTATCCAAGAGCATGTTGCGTCGATGAAATGCTGACCGCGTATCCGCCTGCTGCATCTGGCTTTCTTTCAGCAAACGGGCCTCCAAGAGCAGCGAGCCGCTGAAACTCAAACAATTTCAGTGCAAGGTGTCGATAAGGGCTGCTAAATGGAAGTCAATCATCAAGCCAGCAAGCGCGTGGGCACGGCAGCTGATGACATCGCTGCGGAGTATCTCCTCAACTTGCCCACGACAGAGCAGCGACGCACAGTGGCATCAGTGTCGCGCTCTGAACTTCTGGCAGCTGTCCGGGCGCTATCTGGCTGCCAGAGATGCGGCTTTGTGGAGCAGGTCCTCGCAGCATTTGACCCGGAGCTCTCATCTTTAGCCCAAGCTACCCTAGCGTCCTGCTCTGACACAAGCAACTGGCTCTACGCAGGTCCAGCCGAAAGCCCAGGCTCCTCTTACGACAACGGCCTTCAAGCCTCCTCCCAACCGGGCGCCGCCCCTCCTAGCTCTGCTAGACGCCAGGTTTCTTCCTTTCCCCCTGCCATTTCGGATGCCGGAGGGTCTTCTCCCGTGGCAGCTCCTACAGGAGTATTGCCTGCTGCCGGCGGCGCCGGAGCTGTGGCGGCGTGCGTAGGCGTCATGGCGCCTACGCAGGTGTTGGCCCTCCTGTCAAGCAGCGGGTGCTCGTCTGGCCTGGTGCGTGCGCTTGTGATGCGCTTGTGTGCCTAAGCGAGAACTCCTATTATGGAGACCCACCCTGCACAGCAGCACTGCCCATGGCTCGCGGCCCATAGACCGTTAAAGCCATGGCCTGGCCGCCAAACTTCAAATTGGTTTAGAAACAGCAGTGCCTTACAGGGGTCCCTGCATGGAAATGCATGCCCACTCAGGCTTATGTCCCTGTCCTTTGTCGTGCGTGCGTATGAGAAGGCAATGTCGCGTATGCATACATATCCAAACGCAAATAGCATACCTGCGCGCACCCGGATTGCGTACTTGTGCATGTGCGTGTACGTCGCGCGTCGCGTGTAGTTCTGTGATTCCAGCTGCCTGTGATCCCAACCGCCCACTGGCAGCTCACTAGTTCGCCCGGGAGGAACAACCGAAACCAAAATTGCACACAATTGCGACCGGTACGCGATTGCGGCCCCACCATATTTTATGGGTCCGGTACGGCACCTGATGCAGGTGGGGCTGCTGCAATTTGCCTGGAAGGACGCGGGCGGCAGCGGCGATTGGCTGGCCCTTAGCGACTCGTTGCTGATCCGGCCACGCTTGTTGCGCCGCTTCCTAGCGGAGTCGGTTGGGGTGATGCAGGTAAAGGGGTTCGATGGGAATAAGTTGAAAACTCGCATTCTCACGGTGTTCCCTGGCCGCCAGCAGAGACTGTGAAGGGCCAGCGCGGCTACAGACCTGCCGGCGCCGCCCGTGTCGACATATGGTGCGGCGCCTAGCTTTGGAAATTTATACTTATAAAAGGTCACGTTTTGTTTGCATGTATCCCTGCTGCCCTTTTGCCCTTTTGCAAGTCAGTTTCCTAACTTGTCTTGGCAACATCTGCTAGAAGTAGCCTTGACCCACATCACGAAATCGTGCAATGACTAACGTCGCGTTTGAGCACCGTCTGGTGGGGCAGCTGATGTGGCAGCAGGTCCGCTTTTGGTAGTGAGTCATTTACACAATTTGCCACACGGATTCACACACATTTGTATGCTACCGTGCGTGCAAGAGCATACCGTCTGTATTAGAGGACGAAAAAAGGCACAGGCAGTGGACCATAGCCGGGGCCCCGTTCCGTTCCTCCTCGCCCCGTCTCATCCGGTCGTCTCCCGTTTCCGTTCAGGAGACGGTGTAGCACGAAATGCGGCAGGGTAGGGCAGAGGCAGACGAGGCCGCATGGGACTGGTTTCCATTACTCTGCCCTTCCCTTCCTCCAACTTTCCCGACCGGGATTGGAGGCGCTTCACCATAGTCGCTTGCCTTGGCTCTTCCCTGGCCTCTGTTCTTTTTTAGACTTTTGCCCTCCGAAACCTTTGGCCTTGGAAGGATGCTTCCTATCCCACCATCCATCACCACCAGTGCTATGAATTCGCCTCTGTAGGCCCTCTTGGACGACGTGGGCGATTGCCGCCGCCACAGCGGTTACCCGGGACCCGCTGAGCTCGCATCCACTCTGGCACGACTGGACACGCAGCGCTGTCACACCCTGCAGCGACTGGCTGCCTGGGGCGTGCTAAGGGCCCCAACACAGCCGCCGCCGTTGCAGAAACAGCCGACCCAGCAGTCCGTGCAAGAGCAGACGGGAACGCCGCGACTCGGTGTGGATACAGCCGTCGCAGCCGCAGCCGATATTACGGGTTTGGAGGATTCCAGCGGAGACGCGGAGCTGGCGTCGGTGGTCGTGGATGACGATTTGCAGCTGGCGCTAGCCATCCAGCTGAGCCTGCGGGACGAGGAGGCGGCTTCAGCATTGGGGACCGCGGCTTCCGCTTTTGCGGACGCCTCGGCAGCCGCTCCGCAGCCCCGGCTAACAACGCCGTCGCTGTCGGCGCCACCGGCGTCAGGCGTCCGCTGCAGTCCAGGCGTCACGAGCCGCGAACCCCAACACAACCATAACCAGGAGCAGCAGCAACTGCAGCCGCAGAAGCACTTACTTTGCTCTCCGTCGAGACGGCCGCAGCGAACACCGCCCAGGCCTACCGGCGCCGCCTCGCCAGGTATCTGTGCGTGTGTGTAGTGGTGTATGCGGGATTGGGGGCGAGCAGGGCGAGCAGGTCTCGTCGCACGTTCAGCTCTCACCTCCGTCTTCAACCGCTTGGCTTTTCGCCCAAAGCCGTCTCGGGCCGTCTCGCGAACGGGGCAAAATACCTCCCACCCTTTGTCCGGGAAGAGAATCGACACTGCATCCAACGTAACCTCGTTGCTGTTTGCTCTTGGGATGATAATCCCGTGCCACTTATGTGCACCAAAAGCATTGCCCCGTCGCTGAAACTTGCGCTCTGGCAGCATGCGCGGCTTAATAAACCTCTTTTTGGGAAACATAATTGTGCAAAACGCCTTTCCATTAAATGTCCGTGTGATGCCGTTTAGCGCAGTTGCCTTTGGGTTTACGTTTGCCAGAGACATCAACCCTGAAGGGGTAAAAAGGCCCCCAGTGCGCTTGTGAGTGTATACTTTATTAAGCTGATGCCGCTTTTTCTTTCATTTCAGCTAAAAGCTAACCAACACATTAGGCTAATCCCGGCCCCCAGCTCCGGGAGGTTAGCGGCTTTGGACGTCGGCAGTTGTTTCGTGCTTCTTGCACATGAAGATATGATTTTCCGCCAACCCCGGCTGGTACCCGTGCGTCGTGTGGCAGGTCACAGTCCAGCTGCTGCTGGGATGGAGCTGGGATCCAGGTCTCCGGGTTCCATCTGTTGCTCCGGATCCGTCGCTGCGGCGACGGCAGGGCTGGCAGCCTCTTCTTCAGAAACGCAGGTTTGCGGTACCCCGGCGGCCCGTATCTCCATGAGTGCATTCCTCCGTATGCATGTATGTACGTCTTGTCCGCATGTACCTGCCCGATAAGGAAGGAAATACCGGAAATACCCGATCCCAGTCTCAGTCCCTGCGTGGCTGACCTCCCAAAGCAGGTTGTTGCAAAGCCGTCGGCTCGAGCCGCTTGCTCCAACGCTTTGATCGCCTCTGCCTCTTCACCAGGGTGTGCATCGGGACCCTCACCTTCATCCGGGCGAGGAGGAAGGGGAGGTGGCGGTGGTAATGGCGGAGAAGAGACGAGAGGAGGAGGAGCATGTGGCGGCTTCGCCGCTGCCCGTGGCGGCGGCTTTGGCCGCGGCGGAGGGTATGGCAGACGCCACTGGCTTGGTGGACTCCGCGGCTGTTGCAGCGCTGCCTGAGGGACTGCGTGAGCGGGTGCAGCACCTTGTGACGCAGCTGGTGCAGGTGTGTGTGTGTGTGTGCGCGGGGGGAAGTGTGTGCGGGGGGAAGTGTGTAATATAAATGCAAGGGTGTGAAGAAGGAGGAGAGGTAGGAAGATTTTATTGCAGGAGGGCGACCTTCCTTTTTCCCGTACACATATCCCTACCGCTTCGTTTCCTTTACACACACACACACACACAACATACACACACACACACACACGCGCGTGCGCGCAGACACAGTTACACTGCCGTGGGTTTCCTCTGGAATTCACGTTCGCATTTCGGCGGCGTCTGTGTTAGCTTGTCCTCTTGTCCTAAACAACTCTTCCTGTGGCTCGCCGTTTATTTCTTTCCCCAACTCCCTCCGAGTGGATCACCTACGCCAGGTACAACAGCGCCGCGGCCGCCTAGAGCACGCCTGCCAACACGGCATCCTGGCGGCTGGCCGCAAGCTGTTGCTCATACTCCTCCAAAAGCTATGGGGGAGGATACGGGGGTCAGCAGCTGCAGCAGCTGCGGCTGCAGCTGCAGTGGACGCGGCGGCGGCGCCAACAAGTCCCAGTGAAGCGGCCGGGGAGAGAGGGGACGGCGTCGGGGATGGCCTACAGCAGCAGACCGCGGAGGCACACACGGGCGTGGGTGGGGAGGCGGTGAGGACGACCGGGAGGTGGGCGGCGGCTCCTCCTTGGCAGGTGCCCGAGGCTCGGCAGCCGCCGCCGCAGCAGCAGGAGCAGCAGTCGCGGCGTCGGCTGCCCCGCTACGAGGGGCTGCTAGCTGACCTGGCGGCGGGCCTGGAGGAGTACGACACGCATATGGACCTGGATCTCGATCGAGATCTTGATCCAAGTTGGAATCTGGGTTTGGATCTGGACTCGGAACTCCGCGACCTTGCACTGGCAGCCGAACTGGCGGGCGGGCTGATAGGGGGAGGTCGGGGAACTGATGGCAGTTCCAGTGGTGGCGCGGCAGAGCGGATTGCGGAGCTGGTTGGCGGCGGTGGTGGTGGCGGCAGAACCAGCGGGCCGACCCCGGGGACACGGAACCAAAATCGCGATGACGGGGATGATGGTGGACGTGGAAGTGGCGGTATTGGCGGCGCAAGTGGTGGTGGAGAGGTGAGCTATGGTGGCTGGGACGCGGCGCTTGTTGGCGGCGGCGGCGGCCTGGCTCCCGGACGCTCACCTGCCGAATTGCGGTTGCTGCAGCCGCTGCTGGCGGCAGGTGGTGGTGGCGGCGGCGGCGGCAGGCACACGGGTAGTAGCACCGCCACCCGCAGCCGTCGTCCTCTGGCCTTTCCGCTGCACCCTCCTGCACTGACATCAGCGACTGCGGCCTGTCGGTTCGGCGGCGGCGGTGGCGGCGGCTTCGGTGCCGACTGTGGTGGCACGCTAGGGCAGGTGGTCTGCCGGTCGGAGTGCCTTGCGGCACGGGAACAGCAGGCAGAACAGCTGCGTGTATTGCAGGTGGGATAGTTGACCAGGATGTAGAGGTGGGGATCGGGGACGACTTATGCAACTTATGCGGGGTCCAGGTGATTGCGAGGCGTGGAGGACAGGATCGAGTGACACGGTCGCTGTGAAAGCGCGGGGTTGGGTAAGGCTGAGGTAAGAGCGGGAAGGAGGGAGGGCGCGTCCCCGCGAGCGTCTACAGCTTTGATACTGTCCTCGCCTTTGATTGTGCGACTCGGGCGCCCCCGTTAGCGTCTGCGCCGGTGGTCTCTTATAAATCCTGTCCTCCCTCCTCCCGCGTTCCTGTGGTTGCTGCCTTGTTGTCAGGGCCAGTTGCTCCGCTGTCAGGCCTCCCAGTCGGAGTTGCAGGGGGAGGTGGGGCGGCTGCTGGACTTGCTGTCGGAGCAGAGGCGGATGCAGGAGCAGGTGACAGTGGCGGGGTTGGGATAGGGGAAAATCGCACGTGGCCGGAGGATGGGATTTCGGTTTTGTGACTGGGAAACGGGAAGAGAAGGGAAGGGAGGCTTTAGGGCATTCAGGCAAGCTTGGAGGAGTGGGGCGCTGAGCTGGTACTCGGACTCTGCTGGTACCCGCAGACCACAAGATTGATGACAGCAAAATCCACTATCACCATCCGCTGTCATGCCGGCCACGTAAGCGGTGCATATTGTAACCGATGCCTGTTTATCCCATGGCCGGGCGGCATTTGCGTTGCGTCCCATCTGGGTGTTGTTCGCACTCTGGCAGGCCACGACGGTGCTACGGCGCGACTTGGCTCAGTGGCAAGCCGAGCCGGGGGCGCTCCAGGGAATGGGCACGGACGAGCTGGCAGAGCTGGCGGGCAGGATGGAGGCGGCGCTGAGCCGCGTGCGTGCTGCACAGCTGCAGGTGGGTGGTTGGGGCTTCTGGGGCGCGGGATGCTGAGAATTAGGTGAGCGAGACAGCCGGGCCGACTGGGAGGTGCCTGCAGAGTGGACTGGGAGGGGTTGGATGGTGTTCGGCTACCGTGCCGGTCCAGGGCCCAATTAGGGCGCATGCTGATTTTCCGCGTATGGTGTTGCGATAGAGAGGGTTAGCTGACGCGCTGGCTGGGGCAGGGCCCTATAACTCTTGGGGAGTGACTGCATGGTCACTGGACACTGCAAAGCAAAAGGAACGGGGGAGGAGCCACGGTCGTGTGTAGCGAGGCCGGAGCGTAAACCTGAAGAATGGCTTGAATGACATGGCAGCATAGGCGACATAACACTATCGGTACGTTAATGCAACGGCTTTAGGCCAGTAATTTCTTCCGTCAGGTTCAAGTGATTGAACGATGCAGCTGCGCCGTGTTGCCAGGAGCGCGTTCATTCGTGTGCTTTCCTGTCTTCCCACATTCCTATCGTTGGGAATCATTCCAAGCGACATCAATTCCACACCCACAAAAAGTGCACGCGCCGGGGCCTCCTATCGTCTTCAGATGATGCTGGCCTGCCATATGACACAGCACACGCGAACGTTCCCGTTCAGGCCGCAGCGGAGCGAGACTTGCTGTGTCCGGTGTGCTGGGAGTTGCGCAAGGGCCTGGTGTTTGGCTGCGGGCACCAGACTTGTTGCTCCTGCGGGGAGAAGCTGGCCGCCTGCCCCATATGCCGGGAGCCAGTCAGCATCCGCATCCGGGTCTATAGCTGAGCGGCGCGGCTGCGGCTGGGGCAGCCTGCACAGGGGGCGACTTCGACAACAATGGGGGCGACGGCCAACGACACAAGGCGGCGTCGAGTATTCTGCGATCTCCGTGGCGGTTTGGCAGGCCTGATGCTCCGGCTGGGTACGAGCTGAAAAGGGGGTTTCCCACGAGCGCTTATATGGAGTGTGGTGCGGAGCATTACTGCGGCCGGCAAGGATAGACATGCCCGGTGTTAAGAGTGCGGTTGTACTTTGAACTGGCCACAGGTCTCCGCCTGGCTAAGAGGTGCGCCGTGTTCGTACATGCCCGACATTTAAGCGTACCACTCCTGTTGAAAGGTAACATTGTTTTTTAACCACGAAAACGTCGCGTGTTCTAAGGTATTGCACTGCTCGTCACTGAACTTGAGGGTTGGATGGGAGGACGTGTCGTGCCCAGGCCTTGTGTACAGCGCCAGGTACTAGGTAGGTACGCAATATTATTAAGGCAATACTGTTTATGGAGCCCTGTGATCCTCAGGCAGGCATAACAACCCCAGTACAGTCACTCAGGCCCGGGGAAGCCAAGTGCATGTCTTCCGCTGCCGAGTTGACAGATTTACTCACTTCGTCAAGAGTTTCGCTGTACATGATTCCTACCTACAAAATGCGGATTAGTTGTCCCATCCTGGGCAGCTTCCCGTCACTCCTTACAGCGTCTTACAGCCGTGAGGGCGTCGAGCCCTTACTGACTCTCACAAGCACCTGCCTCTTATGGCCAACTGCTGCGGACACAACTGTTTCTAAAACGCGTGGTGGGGTCGCACGCAGGTAACACTGCCCCTAGAGTTGCCTGAGCATCATCATCCTACAGGGCGCTTGCAGAACCCCAGAAATGAAACAGCACTGGAGCGGATTATGAAAGCAGGTTCGGATTAGGTGCATGTTGAAGCCACACGAAAGCTTTTGACGGCAAGCAAGATCACTTTAGACAGCACAAAACCGGCAACAACGAAGCTCGGTGGTGGAGCCAGCCACGTTTGCTTGCACGAAAGATATAGCTATGCAGCTGCAACTTTCAAAAAGCAACAATTGTGACAGTAAAGCGAAAATGCATTGTGATCTGCATGCTCAATGGCACAGAAAAAGACTGTGTGCTCAATGGCACCCCCAAGAGGCCGCAGGACGCCGCAGCCACAGTCTGTACCAGGTTCTTGTCTGTACGTGCTCCACAGCGCGCATACTGGGACGACCAAAACACTTCAGGAAATAAAAACTGTCCTTTGGAATGAAACAGCGTGCGCAACCCTGCAAGTGATGAGCTCGAAACTATTATAGACGCCCTTAGGACGTACCACAAGAATAACCGCTGGTCCTGCACGTTGGCAAGACCGCTCATTCCGCATCGCCGAGTTTGCGCGGGCCACGGGCAGCTCAGCCCAACCCCAGCACTATACAAATCCCTGAACACACCAGCCTCCGGAATTGAACATAAAGACCGTCTACAAGTACGCACCCCCCGCGGCATGCGCAGCGGCTGCGGTGAGGTACCTCCTGTATGCCCCAGTCGAACGAAAGGCATCCTGGCCGAGGTTACCAACGAAAGCATTCACAAACTCGCCAGGCGCACTCGCAAGTCCCCAGGGCAGGAAGGCAGTCGCCAACGGCATAGCCAGCGCCGGAAGGCCTGCGCTGCCGCCAAGAAGTGCGCTAGGCAGGTAGGCCGGCTGCTGCAGGGCCGGCAACTGCATGAACGGGAAAGGCAACCGCTGCTTCTCAGGAAGGTAATGAGTCGCAGCAAGCGGGCCAACCAACCCTGACAGAGTGTTGCCAGTCCGCAACGCCGCAGCATTACTATAGCCTTGTTGAGCCAGGGCATTAAATGGAACCCACATGGGCCCGGTACCCGGGTCCTCCAATTCCTGATCAGGGTGTAGCACCGACTCGTAATCTTGGCGGAGTGAAGCCTCCTGCTGCCCGACACCACCCACCGGCTCGCCGTCCGCACATTCGTCAGCTGCTCCCGTTGCATGACGACTGTCGCCGCTGCTCTGGTCTTCCACAGGCACGAAGGTTCCCATCTCAGCCGTCGATCCAACATGCCAATTGGTGTGCTCGCCAGCCTGCCGTGTAGGATCCAAGCATAGCTCATGGCTCATGACGGCTCCGAAACCGCTGCTCAGCAAGTGCCGAAGGAGGACAGTGGAGCCCAGGCCGCCCCAAGCTGGGCCCAATAGTTCATTTGGGGACGGCTCACCATCCTTCGGCCACCTGAGGAGAGCTTTGGGAAACGAGGTGATCACGTTGGCGGTAGCTTCCAAGGACTCACGAGACGAGGACGCGGGAGCCTGCTTCAGCGGTGCACGGCTGTCCAATACCGGCGACATCTTACCCTTGTTTGCTTGGAGTAATATCTGGTTATTCTCCACACCGGCCAAGACCTGCGCCTTGCCTTCAACGCTGGCGTGATTCACATCAACTGTTGCCTTCCTGGGGCGCTTGCGATACCCGTCGTCTGGGGCGACGCGCTCACGGACGCGTGTTTCCTTCCGCGTCAGGGCCTCAGCAACGCCGGGGTGCCGGGTATGACGGCCCACAGCGGGCTGCGTGACGCATTCACCGGAGCGGCGCATCTCCACGGCTTGCTGGACAGCATGGCTGGGCACGGGGTTGGCGATCTCGCAACCAGATGTGTTGATACACTGCGCGTTACCAAGAGGCGCCAGGGGGCCCCGGCGCAGCTGCGAGTCCCTCGCCTCCACGGCTGGCGCCGCAGCCAGTACCACTGCTGCATGAACGCACTGGCTACGGACAGGCACACCTGGCTGTAGGTTAGCGCCTGGGGAGGGAGAGGGAAGGTGATTGAGACCCCCAAGCCGCTTAACGGTGAAGCCTTCGTGTGCAACCTCTCTAGCTAACGACGCCTCTTGCTGATATCTATTGGTTGCGAGCTGTGTGTGTGGGATCACGGTCAACTGATGTAGCATAGGCATCTGCAAAGCCTCCGGCAGCAAGGTCCCCACGGGATGTGCGAAGCGGGCGTGTAACGGATTCCCACCAACGGTTGGCAGGTAACGCAGGAGGCCCATGGGATTGCGCGCGTCATGCTCGTGCAGTGGAACTGGCACTGCTGCTGCATTGCGGCGAACTCCGTGCAGCGTGTCGTACTTCTGCAGGCCCCCGCTGCGGTCTTCACAAGAACCCCCTCCACGCTCGGTTAACCTCGATTGCTTGGATGGCGGCACCTGACAAGGCGCCGATGCAGTGCCCCCGCCATGGGATGATATCAATCCCCCGGAGGATGACTGCTGTCGCCAGGCAGAATGGGTTCTGCTACGCTGGTGTTTGTAGGCCCCTTCATGGCTGTCAGCACCGCCGTTAGCTGACTGTACTTCATCCCTCTTGCCAGCGCCGGCGTCGCCGTTGCCCGTGTCATCTTCGATGGTTCCGCTGCTGCTGCTGCGAGGCCCGTCAGACATCGTCGCACCCTCCGAACGAAAATGTGAAGGTACGCACCGCGTGCGCTTCGGAGGGTGATTCATTTCAGGCAACAAGCTTGCTAAGGCCTCGGCAACACCCCGCTGTTCCTCGTTGCTGCAGTTGCCATATCCTGGGCAATCGTCCGCCTTGTCGCTGGTTTTGGGTTGTCCTCTCGACTTCTGTGCGCATGTCTGAGGCATGAGGCGGGCACCATAGCGATACTTTTAATAAAGCGCCCTAGTGCTACGTGGTCGCAGGATGACACGAGGGAACTTTGCGAACTTCGCGTGCCTTGCTATCTCTGCGCGAGGCCAGCGCCAAGAAACGTCTCCTTTGGCCCATGGGGAAGCAACGCATAAATGCCGCAGCCCGGCCAAACCACACACCCGTCGTTGATAATGTACAGAAATCCACTTGCTGCTCACCTGTCGCGTGATTTCCTGCTTGCGCCGCGTTCGGTACATGCGGAAATAGTCCCGGACCGCAAACTTTGTGCGTAGGCCTGCATACGACATTCGAAAATCCAAAGGCTTTGCCAAATTTCTGTGGACAGCTCGCCCTGTACTAAACTAGCATCTGTTACCTCTTGTGTGGCGAATAGCACGTTCTGCAGACGGCCGGCTTGCGGGGTCGGGCCAGGCATGCTTTGCGTTAACATCCCACCACCTACGCCGGGCGAGCGTACGGTGCGGGACACAAAGATTATTGAAGGAGTGTGCCAAATCCTTGCACTCTAGGGGCACTACATTTTGTCAGGCCGATGACAAATGTCCCCTTCTTCTTGTGCAGCGCCCAAGCTTTGAATGAAGGGCGCAAACCCTTACTCTCGTATTGCTCTGGCTCCCGGCATCCTGTCCGTGTGCTCCTTGATATCCCTTGCCCATTCGTTAAACTCGTGCCATGAATAGTTCCCGGTGGCCATGCCCACTCAACAAGATCAGAAAGGCTGTCTTTCCGCCCTAATGAATTACCATTTATGTACAGTAGGCCACGTATGTGTAGTGCGCTGCATTCCGTTAAAGAATAAGTTTAGTTGTGTTCCCCGTGTTTAGACTTTAGTGCACCACCCGGCCTAAGCGCAGCAAAAGAGACTCTTACAGCTTGAAGTACGAAAGGTAAGGAACTAAATGAGAATGTCATTCCCAACGATTTCCACCTCTTTGGAACAACAGCGCTTATCGTACGGAAGCTGTCATCGCACGCGTTTTCATTTCATTCTCTGCACGGTTACACGCCGCATGCAAAACACATCGGCAGTCGACTGTGCGGAAGAAAATGGCGTTTCCATTAAATCCTTATAATTGCATCACATTGCCGCTCATTGAGGTAGGGCTGGCGCAGCGAGATGCGCATGTATCCCCACACATTCTCTTCGCTTGCTGCCCTATGGGCTAGCTAGACAAATAAAATGAAAGCCTAACTCACTGGGCTTTCCTAAGAACTAGACACTTCTCAATGAACTGGTGACCCTGGGGACATATCCACGTAAACTTGCATCGGCCATTTCAAATGCGTTTCTCCGGTAATTAATAGTGCTGTAAACATGTTTGGACTTCTGTTGCTTGTCCGAAGTTGTTCGAGGTAATGGAGAAACGGCCCGTTGGAGCTGACGCAGTACTTGCGCAGATGCTGACGACCTGCCGTGTGAACATTTTATACAGGACCCCAACCGTTCCGTATAGTGCCTAGTTTTGCTTGCAAGTAAATTCTTTTGTCACACTACATTGTATTGGCTGCAGCTTATATTGAGGCTATTTATAGAAACAGTCTCGGGGCAAGCAACATGGGATCCGGCGGAGCGTCCACTCCTGGAGGGCGAGAAGGGGGAGTTAAGCTTGTCGGCTATCACAACTTCGTGCGCCACAACCCGAGGAGCGATAAGTTTGCTGTGCAGAAGTTCCATCATATTGAATTTTGGTGCGCTGATGCAACGAATACGTTTAAGAGGTGCGTATCAAGTTATGCGCATTCAGCGTTTCCTAGCTTTTCGGCGGCGATGCTAGATGTACCGGATGTCCCAGTCGTCTCAGTCCGCCGCTTGGCGCGCAGTGGACACACAGCTCAGGAGGATTTATGCGAAGGCGTCGGTGTTGCTCCAATTGAAATCTTTCGGACAGCGCTTAAGATTATGTTTCGGCTTTTGATTATCTTGGAGCCCAGGCCTCTCCTACCCAAGCTCCCAAGCACGACCGTCCCTTACCTCAACATCCCTTCTCACTGCCCCGCCCTCTTTTCCATGCCAGCACATCACCCACTCCTACACAACCGCCTTACGAGTCTAGCTTCTCGTTACTGGACTTACCCCCTTTCCCCCATTTCCTACCTCGCTGCCTTGAGTCAGGGCCTTGTCCTCAATCAAAACCCTAACCGCTAACGCTATGACCGCTGCTTGTTTCAACCTCAATTCCCGACCTCCGACTCCCCACTTCCACCTGTGACAGGTTCCAGCACGGCCTTGGTATGACCCTGGTGGCCAAATCCGATCAGTCCACCAACAACACCCTCTACGCCAGCTACGTGCTACGCAGCAACGACCTGGTCTTCACCTTCACCGCCCCCTACTCCCGCAAGTGCGCGGCAGTGAGTGAGGGCACACCGCTGCGCCACTACCGAGTAGATGAGGCGTACGATTTCGTCAACTGCCACGGGCTGGGCGTGAAGGCAGTGGGTAAGTGGGGGACAGGCACAGGGCCAGGGCAAAAACGCGTTTAAAATGGCGAGATAAGCGTGTGTGTGTGTGTGTGTGTCTGTCTGCGCGCGCGCGCACTTGTGCATGTGTTCCGGATGAGTGTTGGGCTCGGGGGCTCCCGGCATACGCTGCAGGAACCGTAGCAGCATGCGCCTGCGTGCTTGCGAGTCATGGGAATCGCAGCATGGCCTGTAAGGTGTGTGTGTCTGTGTGTGTGTGTGTACTAGGAGGAGTCGCGCGTGCCGGGAGATTTGGAATGACTGTCGTGGGGATTAGAGGGGCCCATCCGCCCTCAGCTTGGGTCCCTGCTCGCCCCAAATAGGGGAGGGCAAGTCCCCACATGCCCCACACACTTCCTCACATGCAGCAGTCCAGTTAAACTCTCAGGTTTAACAAATTGCAGTTATGCTTACAATTCCGCTCACAGTTTTATAAGAGTGAGTGGCATTTCCTTTCTTCTCAGGTTTGTTGGTGGAGGACGCCCGGGCTGCTTACGAGGTCTCTGTTGCCGACGGCGGCAAGGGCGTGTTGGCGCCTCAAGAGCTGACGGACGAGGCCACTGGCACCACGCAGACCGTTGCGGAGGTGCTACTATACGGCGATGTCGTACTGAGGTGCGTTCCAGTGCGATGTGCAGTGCTTGGCAGTGCTTGCAAGTATAGTAGGTGTTGTCATGTATGGTGTGTGCACACCTACCTCTATCTCTGGCTGCCTTAATGATCGCCAGCGTTCCTTTTCCCTCCCCCCTGTGGTATGGTGGGGATATATACTGTTACGGGTCCTACTGCCGCGACTTGTGACCTATTTACTATGACCCATTTGCCGGTCGCGGTGGTGGCGGGGTGGTGGCGGCAACGCGGGTGGTGGCGGTGGCGGTGGCAGGTACGTGAGCGGCAGCTTCACCGGTCCCTTCCTGGCGGGCTACACCCCGCTGCCGGACTCCCCCGCCATCAGCTACGGGCTGCAGCGAGTGGACCACGCGGTGGGCAATACACACGAGCTGCTAAAGGCTGTGGAGTACGTCATGGGGTTTACGGGTGAGATGGCGAGTGCAGGGACGGGGGGGAGGAGAGGGGAGGGGAGGGGAAGTCCGAGCGGGGTGGGGCTGCTGCCACGGTTGCATGGGTGTGCCGCCAGTATTGTACGTGTGTGTTGTCCGTGTCTATCTCTGCGAGTCTCGTCTATGTGTTCCGGGTGGGGTGGGGTGGGGTGGTAACCTACTTTCCGTGGGTCCAGTCTGGAGCTCTAGATGTGTGCGAGAAGGTGGGGTGTTGCCGGGGTGAGGGTTGGGAAGGTCACTTCCTGGTGGTTGGGACGGAGGGAGGGGGGGCCCGATATGCGCAACCCAGGGGGAAATCCCTCTTGCGGTTGGGGGTGGTTGGTTCCGCCTCGAGGGGGTGTCGGTGTCGTAGGCCGGCCAGGACTGAAGGGGTAATTCTCGATGGACGAAACAGGACTTGGCTTGGCTTGGCTTGGGCTGGACACGTGTGCAATCGTCCTGCGGCGCGGCGGGGGCGGCGGCGGAGGTACCGCTTCCGTTCTGGCATTCGTCTTCCCTTTCAGGACCTGCCCCTCCTCCTTCCCCTTCCTATTTGCTATTATCAGGGACATCACGATTCCCGGGTGCCCTGTTGTTCCAAGTACATGTGCACACACACACAAGTATACCAGATGCCGCCGTCGGCCGAGTTGGCGGTCGTTCGAGTCGTGACCCCACACAACCGCACACCGCCCATCACCACCCACGCGAACACCCACCCACCCCCAGGTTTCCATGAGTTTGCCGAGTTCGTGGCCGAGGATGTGGGCACGGTGGACAGCGGTCTGAACAGCATGGTAGGTGCTGCAAGGAGAATAACTGCCTCTCCTGCGCGCCTTCCCCCGTCTCGTCGGCCCCCTCTCCACGCTCTCTATACCATTTTGCTCCGTCCGCCATACAGGTGCTGGCCAGCAACAACGAAGCTGTGCTGCTACCCATCAACGAACCCACCTTTGGCACTCCCCGCAAGAGCCAGATCCAAACCTACCTTGAGCAGAACGAGGGGCCGGGGCTGCAGCACCTAGCCCTACTCACCAATGACATCTTCGCAACCCTAAGGTGACCACAAGGAACCCGGAGAGGGGAGGGGAAGCGGGATGGATTGGGATGGCTGGCGTGTCCGGGTTTCGGGTTTTCATGAGCTATGTGAGGGCCTAATCCCCGCCCGCTTGCCTGTGGTGAGTTCGGAAAACATGGTAATGGATCGGTCAGTCGGATGGATGGATGGAATGGCATTCCATATTTGGATTGTTGCGTCATGCCGGTGCGGGTCGGGTCGTGGTCGGGTCGGGTCGCATGCTCATCAGGGTTCGACACTGACCTTCCTGGAACTTGCGGGCTCCCCCGTACCTCCCAAATTTTCCTTACGGAGGGGCCCCCGTACCAGGCTCCTGTACCGGCCGAAAACCTTACGGGGGCCCCCGTAACCCCCGCAAAACCTTTACGGGGGCACTGTCCTTGGCTGAAACGCTGTGGAAAGTGACGCTTTGCATTTTTTTTGCCCTGTAAATCGTTTTTTCGTTGTTTTTTCGTGAACCATTACACTCGGGGACACGGCACACTCAGTGAAAGCCAAGCGCCTTGGCCGCCGCGGCCGCCCATCCCTTCTGCTCCTCTTTCTCGTCCTCCTCATCCTCGTCCTCCTCGTCCTCCTCCTCATCCACGCACGACTCATCGGTATCTCGTTCTACGTCGGTCTCGTAGTCACTGTCACTAAAAGCCTCATCGTCACTAGCGGGGTATGTTGCTTGTACCAGTACTTCAATCTCTGGGTCAGTCGCAACCTCCTCATTATCATCCTCTCCGTATGGCTTCAAATTAATTTTAAGGTGGCGCGCTTCTTGGAGGGCAGTGGCTTAGGAGGCCCTTGGTCACCTCCTGACGACTCCTTGTCTGCCATCGCTGGATGTTACAGACCAGAAGTTATAAAAGTATTATGAAAAGTGTAGTTAAATATTGCAATTTGAATTATGTCTGCCAAGTGTGTGGCCTTATCCTTTATATGGTCCGTCCTCTCCCCTACGGGCCCGTACGGCCTCTTATAAATCCTTAAAATCCTTCGGGGGGCCACCGTAACCGGCCTTCGGCCGGTCCGGGGCCGGCCCCGTACGGGGCGCTTCGCGCCCCAAAATCCTTACGGGGGCCACCGCAAAGTCCTACGGGCCCGTACGGGGATACCGAAAAAAGGCCAAAAACTTACGGGCTCCGTACGGGGTGTCGAACCCTGATGCTCATATACCTGGTGGTGTTCGTGTGTCGTCTAGTTGCCATCATGTTGCCGCCTTGTCGTCGTCCTCCTCCATCCCCCTTCCGCCTCCCCCCCCCCCCACCACCCACCATCACTGCCTTGTGGAAACCACACTACAGGGAGATGCGGGCCCGCAGCGACATGGGCGGCTTTGAGTTCATGCCCCGCCCCTCCGACAAGTACTATCGCGAGCTGCCCAAGAAAATTGGCGACACGCTCACTCCCATGCAGTACAAGTAAGCAGCGCACGAAGATAGGGGGGATGAACTGGTTACGCTGCTTTGAAAAGGAGTATTCCCTTTGAAGGGAAGAGCCCTCCACGCAAAGAATTGTGACGTGCCGCAGCCACCACGTCGCTCGCGGCTGCCGCAGCTGCAGCGGCCCTCCTGCCAGATGGCCCTCCTCTCCTTTCCCACCTTCCTAACTCAAACCCTATGTTTCCCCTTTCCCAGCCAACTAACAAACCAACCAATTCCAACTGTTGTTCATCTCGCAGGGAGGTGGAGGAGCTGGGCATCCTGGTGGACCGGGACGACCAGGGCGTGCTGCTGCAGATCTTCACCAAGCCGCTGGGGGACCGGCCCACAGTCTTCATAGAGGTCATTCAGCGAGTTGGCTGCGAGCGGGAGGTGGGTGCTGGGTGGTGGCTGGGTGGCGGGTTGTTAGTTGGCTGGCTGGCTGGCTGGCAGGCTGGCAGGCACAACACAAACCCAAGACCAGGCGTTAGTGTTACGGGTTGGAATTGATAAAGGTTCATTAAGTTCCTGTTTTGGGGGCTCTGAGAAATGCCATGGAACCCCCCATGTGTGTGGTTCGTTTGTGCGTTTTTATTGGATCTGGTATTTTCTTCCTCACGCTGCTTGTTAGTGGATTGGATTTCCGGGTTCTGACTTTCCTGCCTGTGCAGTCCTGTTGAATTGTGTGATGACTGACCGCCGGGCGCACTGGTGCGGATGTGGATATATGGATATGCGGTGTGTTGACGAGGGGTGGCCGGCCCGTGTCTCCCTCCCCTGTGCAGGTCAAGGAGCCCACGACGGGGGCGGTGGTGGGTACGGAGCAGGCGGCGGGGTGCGGCGGCTTCGGCAAGGGGAACTTCAGCGAGCTGTTCAAGAGCATCGAGGATTACGAGCGCACGTTGAATGTGTGATGATGACGATGAGGAAGCGGTGGAGGAGGAGGAGGAGGAGGAGGTGGAGGAGGAGGTGGAGGAGGAGGAAGAGGTGGAAGAAGAGGTGGAGGAGGAGCTGTGTAGAGGCTGTGATGTGCAGTTGACCGGGCAGCTATTGTTTGTTTCATACTCGCTGGGCGTGTGCGGTGAAAACCGTGGTAACTTATGTGTAATGACCGGAGAATTCGTGGTGTGACAGATGCAAGCATGACAGGAGGAAATTAAGTCTTTCGCTGCGGTTGGTTGGGCCCCACTTTAGCGGCTGAGGAAGGCGACGCCTATCATAGGCTGTTATGGTTGTTTTTAACTTCGCGGCTTTCGGGACGTGTTATACCCCCTTTGCGCGGTTCCTCCCGTGCCCTCCACCAACTCCGCTGTGTGGGATTGTAATCACCATCTGAGGCGTTGCGTCGCCCGTACTAATTCTTTCCTGCGTTCATAAGCCGAGGATTAGTCTCGCTGTATCATATCGGCACGTGTGGCCGGCTGCTCCAGGACCGGGGGTATTTTAGGGTAATCTTCTTTATGAGAGCCAGTAATGAAGTAAAGTGCTTTGTTGTTGTGTACGGTTCAATCTACATGGTTCAACCTCCGATGGTGGTTAGGGTTCCCTGCAGCATCGCGGCTGCTTTTGCAAATTACTAACTAATAGGAAACTAGAAAAAGGTTCCATTCGGTGGCTCGCGTGATACGACGCTGTTCATGGGCTGCAGCTGGGCCAAGGATGTAACTTGCGTTTTGCAGTGGCGGCACGGCCAACGCATCTGGTTGCTGCTTGTCTTGCCCGCAGCTGTACAGCGCTGACGGCCTGCTTCAATCTTGGACGTGTGCCAGATGATCGGCATTACGAAAGCGATGATGGCCAAATAACGCATCAAGGAGCCTTGCTTTGCTTATGGCGTAAGGCTTATGGTGCTTCAGGACATGTTCCGACAACTCCTTCCTCCCTTAAGGATTCAGTAAATCCCCTAAATGCACATGTCACCAGGCCATCGGCCCTGCCGCCATTGCGTATCCCGCGTGCTCCATCTCCACTCTGCAAGGACTGCCCAAGGCGAATAGTCCAAATGGCCAGTCCTTTGTTGGCCGGCACGCATCCAAACCTCAAGACTTTGTTTCTCCGCACATTACGGCACCCCTGGGGTCTAGGGCTCACTGTAATACCTGCAGCAGCTCATCAACTCACGGCTCATGCTGCCACCAGTACACAACAGCGGCGAGTGACTCGGGTGACTCTCGCACTAGGGTCTTTTCCGTCACACCATGATTTTAAAGCTAAGCGGCGAGCCAACTGGTGCAGAGGCGGCCATCGGTTGCGGCTGCACGGAACCTTTCCAGTCTGTTCACCACCTTGGGAGGTGCGCATCAACAAAGCCGTGCATTTTGCCCTCACCAGTTCGACACAATATGCGTTTGTGCGGGATGGGGGTTATGATTAGACAGGGGGTGTCAGCTTCGCGTCATGTGTCCTTGGGAAGAGGGTGGAAGGCAGAACGTAAATGACTAACGCTTGCGGGCTTGGGAATATGACCTTCGAACGACGTTATCTTCTTACGCGCTGCTTTCGAGGAAATTTGCCATCTTGACCTGTTGCGGGCCGTCGGCGCATGGCCACCTCAACCTCTCATCTCCCGATTCTTCGGTTTGTTCCCCTTCGTCCGTCCACTCTCATCAATAGCGTTAAGCATACAAGTAGTCCGGTTACTCAAACCAAATGTTGCCGTGGATTCTCACGATCATTTTGATACAAGATTTGGGTGGCCTTGCCTTGCGTTGGTCTGTGTCGAAATGTACGGCGTAGAAACAGGGAAGGCGGAACGGTCAACGTTTCGCTCGAAAGTGCCATGGTTTTTACGGTTCCAAATGTGTTTTTAAATAGTTTGTTCATATCAGTAAAAAAATTGTAAGATCCGAAGGGAGCGAACGAAGAGTCTCTGCCTTCAGGTCAACGGCGGGTCCTTGGTGTTTCTTCCTGTTCCTTTGCACACCGACGACGTCAGCTGATTCAAACACTACGTACAGTGTTCCAGGACGCTTTTATAAAGCCGAAGCTTGGACTCCTGGACTTGCGGAAATCGCTCCAGCGCGGATCGCAAGCAAAAATCGTTTTAGTGAGTGTTTGGCATCAAAGTATTTGGATTTCACGAAGATATATTTCTTGCTGCTACTTAAAGTTGTTTATCATGTGTAAGGTTTTGCCCGTGCCAACTTGAAATGGATGTGCTGGCATAAGTCGGGGCGATGTAGTTTGTGTGGCAAACTTTAATAGGGTATTTAATAATTATTTTAGTTTCATTTGTTGTTGAAACACTACTGGAGTACCCTGAGTAGCACCTGGACTGCATATGAAGCTCTCGACCTTTCGACCTCTCGACACTCTAGTACCTGACCAACCAAACATGTTTTGCCAATATATATGTAACTTCATACATGTCGGTTTCAGTTGACTGTATTTTAGCTACTTGCAACTCCTTTTGTTTTAATCCTGTGCGCAGTTAGCTAGCGCCATCATCGTCTGCGACAGCACACCAGCAAAAAGGGAAGGCTGTGCCAGCTAACACCTTAACCTACAAAGAGATCAATTGAATTATACATATGTAATGCCAGACCAGGCACCACGCATCCATCGCGCGATGCCAGTGCGCCGGAGCCTCTGCCTACGCTGCGTCCTGCCGATTCTCTTTTACGTACTGCTCCTGGCCGCAGCTCGAGTCAGTAAGTAAACTTGAGTTACAATGCCACGATATTTAATAACATAGATGACAGACCGCACACTATGTACGGCGCGGCACCTGTCTTACTCCGTCGCGTCCTTCGGCCTTCGTTTTTCGCTCGTCTCCTTAGGCCCCTTACCCTACTTTTCCCGTTAACCGTCCATCCTTAACCATTCAACCCTTGCCTTATCCTCTTGGCCTTCTTACTCCCGTTTGAGTCCTCAGGTGTGCATGGCCAGCCCGAGCCCAGCATCCCTGTAGCGCGAGGGATGGATGGCGCGACAATGGACATAGGAACCGACGGGGCGACAAAGCCGCAGCCCGTCGTGACCACCATGGCTCCCTTATCTTCTCCGAAGCCCCCCTCGGTGTCCTCTCCGAAGCCGTCCTCAACATCTTCTCCAAAACCCGGAACAAAACCTTCCCCAACCTCCTCTCCGAAACCTACAGCGAAGCCCGCTCCGAAACTCACCGCAAAGCCCTCCCCGAAGTCCCGTCTAATTTCCTCTCCCAAGCCTTTCCCGACTTCCTCAACCAAGCCCATACCCAAGCCATCTCCCAAGCCATCCCCCAAGCCATCTGCCAAGCCTTCTCCGGCACAGTCTCCCAAATCTTCTCCCCCGGGAAATCCCTTTCGCCGGGCCCCAAGGCTCCTGCCTCCCTCCCGGACCCCGCGTCGGCTGGCAGAACCTCGTCCCATTAAACGCTCTATCTCACCGGCGCCCTCTGATGTACCTTGGACACCCGGCCTCTTCAATGCTACCCCACCCACAACCCCGCCGCCAGATCGTAAGTTCTGAGTCCAGTGCTCCAGTGCTCCACCCTACGCATATGGCAATACGTAATTCGTAATGTTACAGAGTAGGAGGCTTCTGGGCCGCTTTTATCACATTGTCAGTTCTACGATTTATCATCTTATAGCACCATCCACCACTACCACACTATACTTCGCCATACGAACTGTAAGTCCAAGGCGGCGGGTCCAGCCGTCTAGGACCCCTCCTCATCCATTCACCCGAACAACCGAAGAGACGGAGGGTTCGGCAATCGCCACCAATCCAGCGTGCGAATCTGGTCCATCAACTGCGACCTCAACTCCACATCTCAGCAGCTAGCAATACGGATTGCGACCATCTGTCGACAGTGGCTTTCGGATGGGGGGGAAAAAGAGGAATTGATTGAAATTTGCCGCAATTGTTTCCTTCACGCAAATTCCACACACACATACATACATACATACACGAGGCAGGCGGCTGGCAGAGATTAAGGCCTGACTTCTGCTCCCGGCCGACCCGGGTTCAAATTCGCCTGCCGGCTACTCGGGTATTTGAGGTGTGTTGAAATGGGAGGTGGCCCCCCATCATGTGGACGATGTAGGACGTGATCAAATCAACTTGCGAGCTAATCAGGAACTAAGTTGATGCGCCGTTGATCCGCTAGATTTGGTTGGATGCTGGTGGTGAGTTGCCGAACCCAACGAATACATTCTGAAGTTGGATGGGGTGACGGATTAGGGTGCCCCTCTAGCAGGGGAGAGCAGGGACTGCCCCAGGAAAGGGGGCCGCTGGCGAAGTTAACCACCCTGTAACAACATACATACATACATACATACATACACATACGCACGCACGCACGCCGACCGCGCGCAGGTACCAAGAATGGGTTGCGCCTGGTTCGAGGCCGCGGCGGCATAGGACGCCTGGAAGCGCGTGTGGTGCCGGATTTCTTTCTGCAGACGGGCTACTCGCAAAACGGCGGCTGGGCGCCCCTGTGTGATGACGGCAGCTTTGACGACCAGCAAGCTCTGGTGGGCAGCGTGGGATTGGGGAGAACGCCACTGACAAGGCAGTATGGCGTGCTGTTGACGTACACATAGCACACACACACCTACACACATACACACGCACGTATGAACACACACACTCTCTCTCTCTCTCACACACATATACACACACTCACGCTCCCACGCACTCGCAAGCGTACTCACGGACACTAGGTAATGCAGGTATGCCTTGCTTCTTGCCTTCCGGCCCTGACCGACTTCCGCCGCACCACCGCCGCCCCGACCCTCTAAACGGCTTTTTACAATTTGTTGGCTGAATGGCTCCCGGACTGGCGAATGGATGGCTTGACAACAGGTGTTCTGCAAGATCATGGGCTACAAATTTGGCCGAAAGCACTACCGTAACGGCATCAGCACCAACGGCCACGACGAACCCGAGCCGTGAGTGGGAAGTGCGGGGTTGAAGTCGAGAAGACTGTATATGGGAAATCATGAGGATGGCTGAGGGTGGCGGGGGCTGTTCGCGCGATCGCGTTCCCGAGTGCTGTGGCACCCACTTGGTCGTCATGGTCAACAAACGCTCCTGCAGCTTTTGCAGGGCCGGACTGCGACCTACTTTCCAGCTTCAAGGACGCTAGCACACCTGACTCCTTTTAACGTCCTTCCCGCGTCAGCACGGCACTGTCCACACGCCCTTCCCTCCGCCGGAGGTGACGTCCACATCGTGGTGCCATTTCCCCCATTCCCTCTCGCACCACCCTTACAGACGACCCAGTCCGTTAGGGCATCTCACATGCAACCCACTCGACCAATCCTGGCCGTCCTTCCCTGTCGGCAAGATCGATCTGCCTGACAGCCTGGACATGAAGTGCTTGCTGTTCGTTTCCTCCTGCGCGGGTAGGCGGCTCGTGGCGCTGCAGTGCTCAGGTGGGCCGGCCCACGCACCAGCCGTACACCGAACCATGACGAGCCACGCACCTACCCATCGAACCCTGGGCTCCATTGCGGCTCAATTGCCCTGAAGCCCCCGACCCGCACCCCGCTTGGCACCTAAGCACATTAAGTGCTCACCTCTCTCCTCACACCTCTCACCTCCCACCTCCCACGTCTCACCTCTCACCTCTCACTTCCCACCGCACATCGCACATCGCACATTACAACATATTACACGCATTCCTGTCTCGCCTGTCTCGCCTTTTTCTAGTGGGGCGGTTAACTTGCATTTCGCCTCGCACCACACCACGTCGCCTCCCCCTTCCTCTCGCTTTACGTCCGCCTTGCTGCTGACCCCGCTGCCTCCTCTAACCCCCCTTGACAACCCGCGCCCGCGCCTCCCCCGTGCAGACAAGCCCTTGAAGCCTAAGCCGCCTCCACCGCCCTCACCGCCCAGTAGGTTTCTCCTGGCGCCGTTGATGCGGCCGAATTGAAGTGTGGCTTTGGGGTTCGGGTATCATAGTGGCGTATTTGTGCCGTACTTGTGCCGTACTTGTGCCGTACTTGCCACGGAATCCATCATCGTGACGACAGCGCCTGGTCGCATCACCATCAGCATGACCCGTATCAGTTGCCCCTGTTGCCGATCTGCTGCTGCTACTACTGGCCCAGCTTCCACTGCTGCTGCCGCAGCCAATGCTCCTGCTGCTCCTGTTCATGCTGCTGCTACTGCTACTGCTGCTACTTGCAGATCCGCCCCTGCCTCCACCTCCAGCTCCCCGCATGCGTCATGCCATCAAAATGATCCCTTTGGAGGACAACCTGTTGGCGGCGTGGCAGCCCTCAGGCCTCCTGTTCAGTGAGCCGCTGCGCATCGAGCTGCTGGTCAACACCTCCACCTCCACCTCCACGTCATCCTCCTACGGTGCGGATGGCGTTGACGCCGTCGCCAACTCGAAGCCGGGGGTGGCGGTGTGGGCGCCGCTGTGTGTTTCAGCCAGTCAAGCGGAGGCTCTGAAGTTGCTGGGCAGTGGCCAGGAAGTCCAAGTGATTGCGAACACCTCGTGCCATCAGGTACGGCGTTTTGGCCGTACGTCTCTGTCACGTATGGTACGCAACATTTGGCTGGTACCTGGTACTCAACATTTGGCTTATTACACGCTCGTCTCTTTACAGGCGGCTGTAGCTGACTTTTTCCCTTGTCTCTATTACTTGGATGTTAGGACTTTTGCGTTATATGCAATCGATGACGCTTTATAGAATGTGCAAGGCGGTTTCTATAATGGTCCCCTAGCTACTGTGTCCCTAATCAAGCTTGTGTGGCTTCTAGGCTCTTCTGCTGGCTCTGGGTCGTTTGGGCACTCGTTACACCTCTCTGGGTAACACAACCGTGGTGTATAACACACGTATATATATGTAAATCCGTCGTGCGTTTTTCGTACAGGAAGGGTGGTATTCATTAGATCTTACATTTCGTTGCGTAACAACACCCACCCCAAGATGGGTAAGAGAAAGCGGTTACGTGCAATGGCTTAAGTGCAGGGTGACGTTTGTTTGCTCGGCATGGCTCCAAGTGCCGTAGTTGTCACTGATCGTGTGGAGGGATGGAAGGAGAAGTAAGGCGGATGTAGAAGGGTTGTGGCTAGCGCAAAGCGTGCGGCCGGAGTAAGGACTGAAGTCATCATGTCATGTACGCTACTGCGTAGTATCCAAATACATGCTCTGGAGGGGCGGCAACCGTGCGGGACTCCCGCACTTCGCCTCAAGGGAACATCCACTTCCATTCTTTCCATTTCTTCCCTTGTCCCTTTATATTCTTTCTCCACCTGCTGCTGGTTTACCTTTATTATCTTTGTTGCCGCCGTACACAGTACGAGGACTTCCCCAACAGTTGGTTCAGTTGGATGGTCGGCAAGGAGCAGACCCCGGTGAATATTCCTACAGGTAACAGGATTACAGCTCGCGCACGCAAACGAGCTTCATTTGAATTAATGTGGACCTCTCCGATAACGCAACTGACTGACTACTGACTGTCATGAAGTCCATCGAAGTGGACATCATCATCACTGCTTGTCTTAGAAGATCTCGCCGCAACTCAGAAGATCTCACCCCGTTAACTCAATCCTCCTAGTGATACGCAGTTCTGCACAGTTAGTCACTAACGGAGGGATTTTCCCCTGCAATGCTGGGTTTGGGGCTTTACAATGTGCCGTACGTTCGTTCATATGTTGCAATCCCACAACATATTACGTTCTTGCGTACCTAACGCACTCGCATCGTCGCGAGAGAAAAACACAACCTAAGCAAGTGTTTACGAATGTTTATGTGTGTGGCACAGATGCGTCCCCATCCGATGACAAGTCGCCTATGTTCGACCCCTCCCTCTACACCCACTGGGCGACGGTTGTGGGGGGCGCTGTCGAGGGCCGGCTCTCCCTACAGCAAATGCAACTGCAGGTGAGGGATCGCTGGCTGGTTGGTTGGTTGGTTGATCTATTCGTTGGTAAGCTGCTTGCAAGTTGGTTGAATTTGTCCGGTATCATCACAGTTATGGCCCGAGCAAATGCTCCGAGGCTAGGTTGCAAACCGGTATTGTCAGAAGGGCCGTTTGTGGAGGCGGCCTGTCGATAAGCTGTGGCTTAGGGCCAATAGAGGAGAGGTCTTGTAGGTATCTTATCACATGTGCGACGCGGGGCGAGGGGGATGGGGTGACGACGACACCGTATTACTACAGCTAGCGATAGATGCACTCTCTGGCCCGCCGCCCCTCGCTCCTTCCTCCCTAGCTCCCTAGCTCCCTAGCTCCCTCCCTAGCTCCGGCCCCTAGCTCGCCTCCTCATTGCTGTCTCGTCTGGTGCACTCCTCGTCCCTTGTACCTTTCCCAACTTCTACCCTTTTTTCTCTCCCGCACCGCACCGCACCAAACACTCTTCACCGCACCACACCTCATCACACTACACCACACTACAAAAGGGCTTTCGCTCTGTCCTGTCTACGTTCTCTTTTACTTGTTTGCCCACTAGCCGGTCACAAGTAGAATTGGTCGCACCGGCACTCCTCCCTTTCCTTCCCTCTCCTTCGTATAGGTCAGCACTGAGCCGTGCGAGACGGGCCTCATGTTCGTCGCCACCTGCGATACGCTGATTGTGTGATGGGGAAGTCATGTGCACGCGGAGGAAAAGCTGTGCGCATGTGAGGTGTTGACGTAGTCAGGTGCGGTGAATGCCCTGAGACAATCCTCATCTCCCGTGTAATGATGGAAAACCCCGAGCGCGTATGAGTTTGCAACGTCCCGTTTGCCACAAGTTTACATACATACATACGCACATACATACAGACGTACATACGCTGAACATCTTTCAAATCTTTCGGGTGGACAACATATTCCATCAGTACTGCTACTCCATCAGCAGTACAAGCAGGTTACATTAGCATATACTGCTGTAATCCTTTGGAATGCTGAAAGTGACTTGATGGCGCGATGACGGCTGCTGCTCATTGTCGAGGGAACCTCCTGAGCTGGCCTGCGAGTGGGTCACATACAGCTGTCACGACCAGACGTAGCTTGAATTCAGGTGGAGACGCGGCTTTCCTTCATCTATGTATTTAATCGTCTGTAGATCACATGTCCTGGTATGTTAGATAGGGACCGTCCATTTTATTCTTTATTCTTTACCAGTATGCGACCTGTAATTAGACAATAAAAGAGTTTTACAGACGGTTCCTTGCTGTCTTGCATCACCCTGCTGATGAGCAGTCCTGCTCTTGCTCTTGAGTTGCATTGCATTATTGTGCTGGCATCACTGTTACGTCTCTCCTTACGGACAAATAGTTAAATCAGGGCTGGTGGGCTGGTTACTCTCAGCTGCAGCTGCACCGTAGTAACAGTGGCAATTATGATGTGGGATATGTATGGCGAGGGGATGTGCATGATGCGGCAAGGGGGGGTGGGCGCATGTCGGTCTGTTGTATGTAATGTATGTAATGTTACAGAGTGGGAGGCTTCTGGGCCGCTGTTGTGTATGTATGTATGTGTGTGTATCACATACTTCCTCCACTGCGCGTGTGCTGTACGTGTATGGGCATAGCAGCAGGCTTGCTGAAAAGCACATCCAGGCGGCATGTAGCGTACTGCACCTTATACTTGGATATTCGTTACAACCTGTACTACACGAACGGCACATGCAGCGGCTACTGCATAACATGGCACATATACATACATACACCATCGTTATACAACACACAAAACACACAGCATGAGGACGTTATTCGGTACAATGTCTTAGTTAGTGAAACCCACACGGGGCCGAGGAGTTCATGTGGAACTCTTACGCACACAATGCCTTACCTTGTTGACGTCAGATCGCTAGGTATTCCATTAAACGATCGTTACCTCGTTAAACGCTCCACATTTGCCAGTCTGTAGAGAGGAAGGTTTGGCAGATGGTTTCGCGGTGTGATCATTGGCACTGAAGACAGTCAAGGAGTCGATGTGCGCGTGAGTGTTGCTGATGGCCTCGTGGACTTACCTCGACGTCATCTTTGAGCCGCGCCTCCCCTCGCTCCCACCTCACCCATTGCTTTGCTTGCTGTATGGCATCCAAATAACGAAATGAGCAGGAGCTGTATTTTCAGTGTGCGGCGCCCGCAGTTGTAATACTTGAATTCAAGTAACGTTTAACTTCTGCGTATAGTTATGTGTGTCTGTGTATGTCTGTGTATAAATGTGTATGCATGCATGTGTATGATGTGTGAAACAGGGGGGTGTATCTTCGCCCGTGGCAGCTACCCTGCGAAACCCTGCCTTCCCCGATATTTCGGGGCACCCTCATCCAGTCACTCTAGTCAACTTCTCAGTGGATCGCTCAGGTTCCGCACCCACCACCAGCATCCAGCGGAATCTGCCGGGTCGACAGCAGCCCAACTCCGTTCCTGGTCGGCCCGCAGGTATACTTTATCCCAGATCACCACCGTCCATCAACTAGGGGCGCAATGTCTTTCACCATCGGGAGGACTTTTGACCCTAATTGGTATCGATCCCGGGATCTCCCGGGGGCAATGGTCGCGCCATACCAGTGGTGCCAAACCCTTATATGTGTATGTATGTGTACGTATGTGTATGTATGTGTATGTATGTATATGTATGTATATGTATGTATATGTATGTGTATGTATGTGTATGTATGTGTATGTATGTGTATGTATGTGTATGTATGTGTATGTATGTGTATGTATGTGTATGTATGTGTATGTATGTGTATGTATGTGTATGTATGTGTATGTATGTGTATGTATGTGTATGTATGTGTATGTATGTGTATGTATGTGTATGTATGTGTATGTATGTGTATGTATGTGTATGTATGTGTATGTATGTGTATGTATGTGTATGTATGTGTATGTATGTGTATGTATGTGTATGTATGTGTATGTATGTGTATGTATGTGTATGTATGTGTATGTATGTGTATGTATGTGTATGTATGTGTATGTATGTGTATGTATGTGTATGTATGTGTATGTATGTGTATGTATGTGTATGTATGTGTATGTATGTGTATGTATGTGTATGTATGTGTATGTATGTGTATGTATGTGTATGTATGTGTATGTATGTGTATGTATGTGTATGACGTTGATTACACTGTGGGCTGAAAAGCCNGGGGGCCCAGGGCCGAAGCACAGCGCGGGGGGCGGGTGCATACGGCTGGTA